ATTTTCAATCCTTGGGTCTCAGATGTTGGTGTGCTTCTTCCATGTGGATTTAGTTAACATCGCACGAGATGACTGCTTGTTTGGAAACAAGCCTTTCCCGCTCCAGGCACTATTCCGTCTGATCGCTGGACACCGTTTAATTTCTTCCCCATGGCTTGCTTTAGCACCGCCATCGTCTGTGCTTCCTTCCTTAGGCGCACGTCTAGCAGGGCTAACGTTACATTCTTACTCTAGTATGTAATCCAGGATTTAGTCATCGTCTGTGCTTCCTTCCTTAGGCGCACGTCTAGCAGGGCTAACGTTACATTCTTACTCTAGTATGTAATCCAGGATTTAGTCATCGTCTGTGCTTCCTTCCTTAGGCGCACGTCTAGCAGGGCTAACGTTACATTCTTACTCTAGTATGTAATCCAGGATTTAGTCAAGTTCAAATCTTTCTCATTGAAACATTTTTTTTTCAAGATTTCTATATTCTTTATTAATCTTTTCTCTTCTTTTTAGAATTTCACTTGTTAGTGTCATTTTCTTTCCTCTTCACTCTACTACTCTCTGGTTTTAACCTAATCATTGACATTCATGTTACTAAATCTAACAGATAGTTTCTACTACTTACCTCATGGGGCCTTGAGCAGAATTAGAAATTTAACAATTTCTGCTATTTTTCCCCTTGTTCCCCCTGACACCGCGTTGTCCAGATTTTCCACTCACCTCTCTGCAGGTGCCTCCTCTGCTTCCCAGGTCTTGGGGTCTCCTAGGGCTCCATTCTTCGAATGATACAGTGAGCAGCAGATGGCCTTAATACTCCTGTAGTTGGTGCCCGTGAGCACCTGGATTTTTCAGCATTGAAAAATTATGTATTAATGCAGGATAAAAAATAAACAAAGAAACCCTGTAGTGCCCAATTTCTTTGGGAAATGTCAGTATGAACTCAGGCAGTATTTCATGTCAAAAGCGTTTTTTACTTAATACATTTTACAAACGGTCAAGAAACAATGGTTAACACACAATGAGTGAGTGTCCAGATTAGGATTTGGAAAGAAAAAAATCTCATTCATAAAAAAAATCCAGCTCCTTAAAAAAAAAAAAGGTTAATTTCATCAAATAAATGTGCAAGAACTCGCAACATTTTGTTATGAGAAAAAGCAAGAAGTCATTAAACACTCACTGCCATGAAGTTGATGCCAACTCATCGAGACCCTGTTAGACAGGGTAGAACTGCTCCTGTGAGTTTCTGAGACTGTAACTCTGTACAAGACTGTAACTCTTTATGGAAGTAGAAGCCCCTGTCCTTCTCTTAGAGCTGCTGGTAGCTGGTTGTTTCAAACTGCTGAGCTTTTGATTAGCAGCCCAATGTGTATAACCACTGCACCACCAACTCTTCTCATTAAAGACTACCACTGTGGTATCAAAAACACTCAGAAGCAGCTTGAATTGGTTTTCATTTGCCAAAGATGTAAAAGTTTGAATACTAATAATGGATAATAATTGCAGGGTGTTCAAAAATATCAAGTATGTTTGTCTCAGGAGTTCACAAATGAAGCTAAAAAACAACTACGGAATTGATTTCTTTTAGGGGATTTCAGTGAACCAACTTCATATTTGAAAACTGTCAAGTAATGGGAAAGATTCTAGCTCCCATTTCAAATCATGTTTCTCACATAAGAATTCTATCACTGGCTAGGCAAATGGTAAATAAAAGTGCTCTTCAGAAAGAGGCATTTATCTCAGTTTTTAAGTGAAGAAATAATGATAGGTTGTGACCTTTCAGCAAAAACTAAAGTAATAAGGAGCCCTGGTTGTGGTGTGGATTAGTTTAGGTCCTTAAACACAAGGTCAGCAGCTCCAACATACCAGTTGATCTGATGGAGGAAGCAGAGACTGCTCCAGTAAAGATTTACAGTCTCACAAATCCTATATAATATGTATGTGTTGAAATACACGCAATGGCAGGGGGCTTCTTGAGGTTTTGATTAATGAGTTCATTGACCTGTGTGTCAGTGCCTTTATGTTTTTTGTATGTTTTTGTGCTGCAATAGCAAATTCTAGAAGTAGGTTTTTAAAAAAAATCATTTTATTGGGGGCTCATACAACTCTTATCACACTCCATACATACATCAATAGTGTAAAGCACACTTGTACGTTCGTTGCCCTCATCATTCTCAAAACTTTGCTCTCCACTTAATCCCCTGGCATCGGTTCCTCATTTTCCCCCCTCCCTCCCCGCTCTCCCCTCCCTCATGAACTGAAGTAGTGGGTTTTAAAGAACAAATTTGCTTTCTCTTTTTATTATTTTCTAAACATTGATTTTCTGTTTGAACTCTTTTAAAAATCATTTTATTTGAGGCTCGTACAACTCTTATCACAATCCATACATACATCTATTGCGTCAAGCACATTTGTACATTTGTTGCCATCATCATTCTCAAAACATTTTCTTTCTACTTGAGCCCTTGGTATCAGCTCCTTATCCCCCACTCCCCCTCCCTCCTGAACCCTTGATAATTTATAAATTATTATTATTTTGTCATGTGTTACACTGTCTGACGTTTCCCTTCACCACTTTTGTCTGTCCCCCAGGGAGGGGGTTATATGTAGATCTTTGTGATCGGTTCCCCCTTTCTACCCCACCTTCCCCTTCCCCTCCTGGTATTGCTACTCTCACTATTGGTCCTGAGGGATTTATCTGTCCTGGGTTCCCTGTGTTTCCAGCTCTTATCTGTATCAGTGTACATCCTCTGGTCTAGCCTGATTTGTAAGGTAAAATTGGGATGATGATAGTGGGGTAGGGGTGGGGGAGAGAGCATTAAAGAACTGGAGGAAAGTTATATGTTTCATAGGTGCTATACTGCACCCTGACTGGCTGGTCTCCTCCCCATGACCCTTCTGTAAGGGGATGTCCAGTTGCCTACAGATGGGCTTTGGGTTTCCACTCTGCACTCCCCCTCATTCACATCGACATGATTTTTTCTTCTTTGATGCTTGATAGCTGATCCCATCAACACCTCATGATCACACAGGCTGGTGTGCTTCTTCCATGTGGGCTTTGTTGCTTCTCAGCTAGATGGCCACTTGTTTATCTTCCAGCCTTTGAGACCCCAGATACTGTGTCCTTTGATAGCCGGGCACCATCACCTTTCTTTACCACATTTACTTATGCACCCGCTTTGTCTTCAGCTATCTTGTTGGAAAGGTGAGCATCATGGAATGCCAGTTTAATGGAACAAAGTGTTCTTGAATTGAGGGAGTACTTGAGTAGAGGCCCAATGTCCATCTGCTACCTTAATACTAAACCTATAAATATATGTACATAGATCTATTTCCCCATCATCATATATAAATATATTTACATATGTACATGCCTGTAATTAGACCTCTATAAATGCTCTTTGCCTCCTAGTTCTTTCCTCTATTTCCTTACTTTCCTCTTGTCCCACTATCATGCTCAGCCTTCATTTGGGTTTCAGTAATTCCTCTCTGTTACATTGCCCTTGATCAAGCCCTACCAGGCCTCCTACACCCTCCTCACCATCGATTTTTTGCTTGCTTGTTGTTCCTTTGTCCCTGGGTTTGTTAATACCACTTCCTAGCCCCCCCCCCCCCCCCCCCCCCCCCACCCTATCTTACAATTTTACTTTCTTACAAGTGTAGATGGCTAGAAGTCTGAATTCAAGGCAGTGGCTCCAGGGGATAGCTCTCTCTTTCATTTCTCAGGGAAAGTATTTTTTCAACTTCTGGTCTTTGATGAGTATCTTGTGGTGTTGTATCTGCCTTTTGTATCTGTGCTTACTTGCTTGATCTGCTCTTTTACATTAAAAAATGACTTAAGATACCCTTACTTTTGTGACGCCATTAACATAACAAAAAACCCAAGATTCCCAAGTCCGATTAGACCCACTGGTATACAGGTTACGATTTACAACATACATTTTTTAGGACGCAGTTCAATCCATAACTGTTTCTACTAACTAAACAGAAGGAAACAACCTAATATCTTCCTTAGAAGAACAAAGTACCATTTATGAAGCAATATTGCCACAAAATTTGATTCTTAATATGATCAAAGATCCGCATCCAGAGGAACATGTTAAATACGCTACAGGGATACAATCAGTGTCTACAAAGCAAATGATAGATTTTTCAACAGATAATACTGTTTCTTCAAATACATTGCATGGGGAAATTTTTCATTGTTAGCTAAATGCCTAACTAGGAGACCTGCAAACAGCTTTCATAACATTACATGACACTCTATGTTTATACATATGCCTATCCCATTAGATTATTTCTCAAAACCAGGGAAAGGTTATCTTTGTGAGGAACAATATTTCCTACACACATTTTATTTGATGACTTTGACCTTTAGTTCTTTTGATTAGTAAACTTACCAATTGTACATAGCATCCCCTTAGTTTCCTTGTCTATTTTGAGTATCATGAATTCTTGTCAGTTTCTTTAATACTGCCTGATTGCATGCTTATTTGTCAAAAGCATTGCTTACCCTCCTAATATTATGGAGGAAATTAGTCTCTTGCAGAAGAAAACATGCTTTTCAAAGACTAACCAGATTTTAGTGCTGCTGCTTATTTAATTGTGTATGAAAATCACTAACTCCTCTGGGCCTTCTTTCCGCCACCAAATTGGGATAGATTTGAGTGATTACTCTAAGGCGGTGGTTCTCAATCTTTCTAAAGCCGTGACCCCTTAATACAGCTCCTTATGTTGTGGTGACACCCCCCCCTCAACCTTAAAATTATTTTGTTGCTACTTCATAACTGTAATGTTGCTACTGTGTGAATCATAATGTAAATCGTAATGTGTTTTCCAATGGCCTTAGGCGACCCACAACCCACAGGTTGAGACCTGCTGCTCCAAGGATGTAATCAAACATTGTATATGAAAATACCTAGTATCATATCTAACATGTATTAATAATGTATTAGTTGTGATATGTAGTGTTTTCAAATATGTGTTCATCATCATTGATCCTGTTACCTTCACAGAAACCTCCTCTACATATACCCTCAGAGTCTGAATTTTGCCAATCGTCAGGGTTCTGCCAGAAATATAACAGTGAAAGTCCAGTTTATGTATGGTGAGGATTCGAGCAATGCCATGCCGGTAAGAAATAGTATTTGCTTTTGCTGTTCCTCAAATATGGTCCAAAATACATATTGTTATGTTTTGGTTGGGAGTTCCTAAGTGGAAAATATCTTTTAAACAATATTTCTAATTGTATCACTTTCTGTATAGGTAATAATGTATTTAAAGTTCTTCTTTTTTTTTTTTTTTGTAGCGTTTGGTATAATACTGGGCCTTCCTAATGATACAAAGATGAATAAAACTTGTAGTTCAGGGGAGATATAATAAATCAAATCCATGTAATACTAAAATAGTGGCTGTCAGAAAAGGAGATCAGAAACTTACAGGGAACCTTATTGAAATACCAAAACCCCAAACTAAACTCACTGCCATAAAGTCAGTTTTGACTCACAGCAACCATGTAGGGTAGGACTGCCCCTCTGTGCGTCTGAGGCTGTAAATCTTCATGGAAGCAGAAAGCCTTGTTTTTTCCTGCTGTGCTAGTGATTTCAGACTGCTGACCTTGCAGTTCCCAGCCCAGTGTGTAAACCCCTGTGCCACCAGGACTCCTTCTTGAAGGAGGCACATTTACCTTTTCTTCTGCTCTTCGTATCTGTAGTTCGAATCCTTCTCACTTATTAGAATAAAGGTCCAGGTGAGGAAGGTGGGAGGTAGTGAGGGGATTGTACATATGTGAACTTGTGTTACAATTTGAAAATGTACCCTAGGGGATTTTAATATGTATGAACCTTGACATCTTGGTTGAGAAGCTGTGACAGTAGTTCTCAACTCAACACTTTGGATTCACCTGGAGAGCTTTTAAAGCTAATGATGCCCAAGCTGAATTCCACTTCATTTCAATCATAATCTCTGAGACTGGGAAGCTAGCATTAGTACTTTTTAATTTTCCCAAAGGAAAACAGTTGTGGAGCCAGTGCTGAGGACTAAGGTGTGTGCTAATTATTAGAAGCCGGGTATAGAGATTCGAAGGCATAAAACTTTTTTAAGTTTTATGAAAGTGGATAAAGTAGAATTTTGGCTAAACTCAAGTTGGTCCATTGGAGAACACCATTATTATAAATGCTCAGCCCCTAGAACTCTAGTGGCATGTAGGAGAACTAAGAAATTGGTGTGATAACAGAGTCTTATTTTATCCTCCATCTCTGTCATTTATATCAAGTTCCTCTAGTTTTCTGCTTCCGAGGGAAATACTTGTTTTATTCTCTTTTGCCTTGGTTTCATCAGCATTACAGCTCTTCCTGACAGTAGTAAGCACAAGTTATTCATCTTTGTCGTCCCTTATGGCAGCTGATTCAATTCAGATCAAGGCACAGAATATGCTGAATGAATATTTGTTGAGTAAATGTAGAATTTACTTTTGAGGTTTGGAATTGGCATTTCATACTCTTCCATAGCTTTTCATTTCTGCTGCAGGAATGAGTGCACAAATTACTGGCTTATGAAAATAGATGTTTTGTCAGCGCAGCTGTAAATTGGTATATGCATTTTAGCTCATGACAGTTGTACTTGGTGTAAAATAATCTGTTTTCATATTTCATCTTAAAATCTCTTACTTGCTTTAGTTTATATATTACCGCCTCTGCCGCTCCCAGCTGTACCTTGCCAACACTCCACATTGTCAGTTAGATGCTCCCTTCTTCGACGCTACCAGGCCTTCCTCTCCCGTCTTTCCTGGGCTGAGCACTTGGTGGTTTTGTTTATTTCTCCATCTCATTCAGGAGATTGTGAGCCCGTATCTTGGCAGCTCTCAAAGAGTTTAGCACTTAATTGAGGCTCCGTCCCTATTGAATAATTGAAAATATGTGTCAAATAGCAAAAAAGGGGGACACTTCTTATTTTATATCATTCATGTTACATGAATAAATGACTTATTTTTTAAAGTGATAGCTTCCTAGAGGAAGAAGGAAAAGGCACTGTTTCACTTATGTATTATTAATCATATGAAGTATAATTCTCTTATGTTTATGTGAGTGGTTAGCTTTGAAAGAGTGAATAAACATGGATATTTTCTATGTGTGTTTAGTCTTAAAAAAATAAGAGTTACTGAAACTAGTCCTAAGGTGATTTTGGATCAGATATTATTGGTATGATAAATTCTTAAGCCTCATAATCCTAGTACTGAAGCAAAAGTTTACAAGAATATAGTATTCTTAGCAAAATGATGTGTTTCTAGGAAAGTCATAATATTTCCACTTTTACATATTCTTAAAGTAAGGTTCTGTTTGAAATGTTGCTCGAAGAAGCATAAATGCCTGTTAATAAGCTCTTTTTCTTCAAGGATGGTACCAGTTGCTCCTTTTTCTATTAGGAATAAACTTTGAGTTGTTTTACCACTTGTGTTGATCGATGTGTAATGACCATTTACCTACTCATGAAAACGCCAAGGCCGCAAGCTCTTGCTAGATCACATTGTAAGCCTGACCAGCTCACAGGAATCATAGCTGTGACCTTGACATCATTAAGTCATTCATTTAATCAGCTGCCCTAATTAACTACAGTATTCATGATAGTATTTAAGAAGCTGAGATACAAGGCTGAATTATTTTCTCTTTAAGCTTAGGCTTTCTCTAAAAATAGCATTGTAGTTTTCCACTGTGGTAGATTTATGATTATTATTTTCGAGCAGAGTATTATTTTTCAATTGCAGTGTAACCTGTGGGAAGTGGTGGATGCAAATGACATAAAACTGCACCTAAATTAGGGTTTTTATAATTTATAAATAACTTATACTTGACTTTCAGCATGACTGCTATTGTAGTAGAGATGCCACCAATTTGTATCGAAGCTTTGTGCCACTATTCAAAAATTATACTTTTAAAATTCCAAATATGTTACATCCCAATTTAAAAATGAATTCTTTATGTCTTTAAGGAAATAAAAGGAAGGAAATGTTCCTTTTTGTCTAGTAGATAAAAATATAATTAAAAACATGGAATGTTTGCATTTCGGATGGATCTGTTGAAAAGTGATTTAGAGTTAAGCAATTTAACTTATTAATGAGTGAGGCACATTGGCCCCTGTGTCTTCATTGGGCTGATTTGGCCCTTTGTTCTTAGTTGTTAAACCAGACAAATTCTTCATAGATATGAAACATCCAGCATTTATTACAACAAAGTTTCAACATGCTGTTATTTGTTACAGGTAATCTTTGGTAAATCTAGCTGTTCAGAATTTTCAAAGGAAGCCTATACAGCCGTAGTATATCATAACAGGTACTGAATTCAAATATTTCTTTCAAAGTTAACTCACTTCTCAGTGGCATTGTTAGACTCACATTAGTGTGTTTACCAAATGCTTTGCTGCACCCAATGTGCTAAATTCACGACAGTTGACATCAAGTTGTTAATTTTCAGCCTATAATCACACAGTCATCCTGTGTGGACATCTCACATGTGACTGTACACAAAGCAGTTCTATCTAATTCTCTGATTCTTTCATTGTCATCGTATTGTTACTGATTATCCTTGTGGCCTCGTAGTTTTTGGTCTTTTTTTCATTCTGCCCTGACAACTTTTTATATCACTCTACTTTGCTTGAACCAGTTAGTCACTTAAATTGGTGGTATTCTCAACAGCCAATAATCCTTTTATCTACTGACCTTACATTTGGACAGGTGCTCGCTTTGGATAACTTTAATTTCTGCTTACGTTGCTATGTGCATTATTGAATGCTGTTAGAGAAACATCACAAATGGCACCAATGGGAATCATCACCACTGATGTTATTTTGTGTGATGGGGTTATAGTAATTCATGTCACTTCATCTCCTTTTGGTGGCACCCCACTTGGAAAATTTATTGCCCTCATTTTTTCCAACCCTCCCATTTGACAGAACCACTCAAAAAACCTTTCTCTCCCCTTTCTGTTTGCTTCATTCTCGGCACGCTTGCTATGGTGATTGGGACCATTCAGCTTGACAGCTTTTCACTGACCTCCTCTTCTTTCGTTTCAAAGGTAGCAATAACCCACTGTTTTCCTTTGTGGCTCCTGTAACCACCGCTCTCAGTGCACCCACCCAGCCTCTTCCAGATTGCGACTCGGGGTTCTTCTGCTCTGGCATCAACAGTTGGCTGTTTCACTAGCTTGATCTCTTGCTCTGCAAAGAAGCTAAAAGTTTCCCTTCTTTCAAAACGTTTTTCTTTAGTGCTGTAGTTCGGCATGATTTTTTTCTTGCCCTTCTTAACATTTCTTCTTCCTTACTTTTACTTTATCCTATCTGTTTCTTTCTGCCTCTTTGAACACTCCTTTTCCTGTAGTAATTGCTTTTATTTTTCCTTTAAATATAAGAATTCCACAAGGCCTCCCTCTTTATCTTTTTCTATAAATATTCTCTCTTTAAATAATCTTCTCTGCGACTACTTTAATGTTTACCGTTATATGAATTGTGTATATTGATTTTCACTCATGCATTCATAACTGTTCTGCTGAGGGATAGTGGCTTATTGGATATAGTCATGGGGTGCTGCTGCGTTCTAGTTCCAGCATCTCTAACCCTGTCTCTCGTCCCTACCCTACTCTCCGGCTGACGTTTTTGTCTTTGTAACAATACTAACATTCCCAGTTGCATTGGCTGAAAAGTTAAGGCATCCTTGCCTTTTCTCTTATATCATCTTCATCCAATCTTAAAGTACTGATGATTTTCTTTCTCCATTATTACCAAACAGATCTTGTATTGTCCTGTTTCTGGAACCTTCTTGGATCTTTTCTCTCTGTTAATATCCTTCCCCTCTGTTTATTAAACTCCTACTCATTCCTTAAGGCTCATGCCGTATATCAGTGATAATTCCCTCATCTCAAGTGTGAATACTCTCTACAACCTTGTTCTGAAAACACTATATGCTCTTTACCAGGAGCTGGCAAACTTTTCTTTCAAAAAGTCAGATAGCATATATTTCAGGCTTCATGGACTGTATGATCTTTGTTGCATCTCTTCTCAATTCTGCCTCATGTCATTGTGTAGCAAAAGCTACCATAGAAAACAAGCAACATAAATGCATGAGCATGTCTGTATTCCAGTAAAACTTTATCAACAGTGAAATTTAAATTTTATATAATTTTCACAAATTGTGAAGTATTCTTTAATTTTCTTTCCAGCCATTTAAAACTGTAAAAACTATTCTCACCTTTCAAGGTCTGTTAGAAGAGGAAATGGGCTGGGTTTGGCCCATGTGCCATAGTTTGCCAATCCTAGCGTGGTTGTATATATTAGGGGCCTTCTAAAAGTTTGTGGGAAAATAGAATAAAAAATAATGGAGTTTTCCTACAAACTTTTCGAAGCTAATTTGTGTAAATAATCTTCCTACTAAATTTCTACTAAGTTCTGAGGATAATTATATGTATACATTTATCTTTAAAGTCACCACAAATATTGCAAAATATGAAGCCTAAAATGGGCCAGTAAAATACATGTTGAATTAATAAGTCTCAAAATGTTTAATTTTTCACCATATTATTCAAGAGTTATGATTTCTGGACAAAAATGAACTAACAAATCTCAATAATACCAGGAAAGATATTGATAGAATTTGGTGTTTCTTAAAGTTTTATCAGTATGTAGCTACGTGTTTATTTTGGTGCTGTTAGCATTACTGGAATTAACCTGACAGTACCATCTGACTATTGCTGGTAAATTCAACTTTCCCATGCTTCGGTGGTGATTGGTGAGATTAATAAGTGGTACGCAGTCTTTTCATTCACCAAAAGCATCAAAGTCTTAGATGACTAGCACTAGTTATCTTTCTTGTTGCCACTCAAAAGCCTTGTTTTATTTATATGTATGAGATTAAATCCACCACTTCGAAGCCTCTTTGCCTCTTACTTGCGATAGGAGGCTATTGGGCTTGGAGGCTAGCTCACCCTGTAGCACCTGAAACGCCTCCTACTGGACGGTACAGCCTTTACTTTAAGACATTCGGAGTTATGTGGATTGGATGCATTTCCATAGGTGTACTTCTAAGAGGTGCTAACTTAGCATGTAAGGTTGGGACACTAAGCTCTATCCTTTTTAAATCTGTATCATGAACAGCAACCATACTCTCATATAAAATGTCGTTAGGGGCCACTTCTAATGAATATTAGAATGAAAGTGTCATTGATTTGTTCAAACATAATATTTGTTGTATTCTTACAGTGATTGGGAGCTCTTCTAAATCATGGAAGAAATGCAATGTGTGGTCAGCCTCTCTCCCCCCTTTAAGCATTCAGTCAAATACACTAGCTCATATTTTGGTAACAGGTTTTTAGTTCTTCAACAATCAAACAATAATGGATATTACATTCTGTAGAGAGTTCAATGTGATGTTATTTAAAGATACTTTGCCCCACTTTTTTTTTACAGAGATGACACACATTAGCTGTCATATGCTATTTTATTTAAAAGCAGTTTTCTGTGGCAATGATTTTAAAAATCTCATTTTTTTCCCTTTGTAATGTGTATCAGAACTCCCTCTAAAATGATAAATTCCTGCCCTTGTCTCCCTTTCATACAGTTTTTCATGTAAGGAAGAGCTCAGCATCCAGTGGTGATTATGCCTGAATTGCCAAGGAGTAGCATTACTGTTTCCATTAAAAAAAAAAGGAAGTCCATTCAGAAACAGTGGCCATTCCCTTATCTGGAAGTAGGATTTAGTTACTTAGAGATTGGAAGTAAAGAAAAATATTTTGGACTAGAGAAAAAAATTAAGCATGGATTTTAAAATTAATTTAAAAGTTAATAAAGTACACAAATTAAATAATCACTTGCTTTGAACAAATTACTGACTTTTTATTGATGTCTCTTGTTTGTTTGTTTTTTTATATGAAGGTCTCCTGATTTTCATGAAGAAATCAAGGTTAAACTCCCTGCTACTTTAACCGACCATCATCATTTGCTTTTTACTTTCTATCATGTTAGTTGTCAACAGAAACAAAATACCCCACTCGAAACTCCAGTTGGATATACAGTAAGTCTGTTTTGTAGACTATTTAGCACTTCGACCTGGGAAATAACTTTAAATATCTGGTTCCCCATAGCTATTACAGCTGCATTGGTTAATAAGAGTCACTGTAGTTACAAAAGTAATCACTAGTGTAACTCATCAGTCAAATCAGTCTAACCAATATGCTTACCACTTGAATGTTGGGCCTGATCACTTGGCATTTATCCAGTATTTGAAGTCCCTATGTGCTTCTATGTTACAGAAGCAGATTGCCAAAGTGGGTTCAAACTGCCAACCTTTGGATTAGTAACCCCGGGAAAACTCTGCTAGTGAAGGATTTTTCAGCCCTTGCTTTAAGAATATTCTCTTCATAAGTCAATTTTGTGTCATTCACTGAGTGTCCTTTTTCTAGTACCAACTTTCCCTTGCATAAGAACTTCCTCTAGATTTAAACATCACATGACTAGAAACATCAATGTTTTGAGGATCCTCGGGGAAACTCCTGTAGAGGAATAATGAGGGTCTGTTTCTTCTGTAATTATATCCCCTTTGTGGTTGGTGTATCGGATAAATTTGACTCATACCACATTCTCAAAACAGGTTTTCTAAATAATACACATTTAAATTGATAGTGTTTTCCTTTTCATTTAAAAGTGGATACCAATGCTTCAGAATGGACGACTGAAGACTGGTCAGTTTTGCTTACCAGTCTCACTGGAAAAACCGCCACAGGCATATTCTGTACTGTCCCCGGAGGTTAGTATCGCATGTTGAAATTCTCCAGACCGAATGAAATGGCTTTTCAGTACAAATGTGTGCCTACCAAAGCTAGACTGTGCTCTTTCTTTTATCTGGACACACGTTATAACAAAGTTGTGATATCATTTTCCTAATGATTAAAGTCCCATATAAAACTTAGAAGCTTAATTTGAAGAATTTTTTATATTGTGATCTGAGAAGATTTTTTTTAAATGAATGTTAGTAGACTGTTATTATTTCACTAAATGGCTAGAATAGATTTAAGTTACATTTTCAAAATCTTTTTAGAAAGATCATGTACAGAAAAATAGGATAGCTCTAAAAATGCAATATCATGTTATTGTGTATACTTCTCCTATTTGGTTGCTTGTCACTCACTTTGCTTTGGCCACACAGCCTTGCCTTATCTTCAGCATGGTAAGCAGTTCCCTCTCACCCTCCTCTGCACCTGTCTCTCTAAGGAATGCCTTGGCACAAGGCCTTCGCTTTCATTTCCTTCAGGCAACCACAAATACCAGCTCTCCAGAGAGGTTATCTCTTCTCATTACTTTCTCTTAGCAGTTTCCATCCTTTTTGTAAATCCCTTTACTTTGGTTTGAATGACCCCCGGGGCAGAAGGAACCCTGGAGCCCTGGGACAGTTTAAGAGTTTTGTTTTTTTAAAAAGCACCAGTACTATTTCTTCCTTTGACAAATTTCAAACTAGCCCCACCAACTTTTGTGTCAAAAAATCTCTCATAACTTGTATTATTTGTCTCAGTGGAGATACTTCATTTCTTTCACCTACCTATAAATGAATTTTACCGTGGGAAATGGCTTTGTTCATTTCTTCCACACGAAAAAAACACTTTGCTCTTTTCTTGGACATGGTAAACTCGTGAAAAAGCTATCCTATTTTCTGTTTATTTTGCTGGGAATTCCTTTTTTTTCTCACCTCTTTGAAGAATATTCCTAATGGCTTTTGGCCTTATCTGCATAACAAAAGAAGCACCCTATTTTGAACCAGAATCACATCTACAGGTACAGGGACCAAGACAGAGACCTGTGTTCATCCCGAAGGGGCCACCATACCAACAACAGTCGGAGCCACAGTAAGCACAGCCCCCCGGCTGCCTGGACGCTCTCCTCGCTAGTCCACATGTGCCTCTTGACCTTTCAGACTCAGTGTTGTGTTATTTAGAAGAGAAAGAACTAATGTGCTTTTGCAAAATGATATATTATGAATTCACTTTATTTTATTCTTTATTCTTTTATTAATCATTTTATTGGGGGACTCTTAATTTTGGGGGGACTCTTACAAATCTTACACTAATCCATCATTCAGTGTATTAAGCATATGTACATATGTTGCCATCAACATTTCCAAAATATTTTCTTTCTACTTGAGCCCTTGGTATCAACTCCTCTTTTTTCCCTTCCCTTCCCTACTCGCTCACCCTCGTGAATACTTGATCAATTATATGTTAGTATTATTATTTCATGAATTCATTTAAATTCATATTCCTGGCAATTTATATTAGAGAAATTTTATTATATTAATTATATAGAAATTATATTAATTTATATTAGAGAAAAATGTTTCCTAAGTTTTAAAATAAAATGCCCCTGCTTCTGAATATTTTTTATTGCTGTTTAAAGTGCTATTAGAACATGCAAATAAGAAAATGGAATATCATAAATTATCAAAATAGATGTATGTGTATTGAAGTGAATAGAGATTTACAGTGAAAAACAGATGTGTGCTACCTGTGTAAGAGTATAAGAAATATATAATGCTTCTACATAGAGCAAGATTTGGGATTTCTACAGAATTTTTTCTAAATGAAATATTGTAATTTTTTGTTTTAGGTCACACACACACACACACACACACACACACACACACACCCCTCAGAATTAGTAATGCCCTTAAGCCTCTGTGATCATTTTTTCAAACAACTCTGTAGGCACTTCATTCACATAGCATACAATTCAATAGTTTGCGCATATCGAGAAGAGCAGTACGTTCACTACCACAGTCACTTTTAGAACGTTTTCTGCCTTGTTCTCATTGTTATTCATGTGATTATTTTTTTCAATTGTGGGAAAAATATACACAACGGAAATTCTCTAATTCAAAAACTTCTACATGTATAATTCAAAGCATCTGATTATACCCTATATACTAGTGTATGCACCGAGTTTTTCAGCACATTTTTCATGCAGTCTTTGTGGAAAAATTAGGTGCCTCGGCTGATATTTGGGTCAGCTTATACTCGACTGTATGTGGTACTCTGTGTTGTGCAACCATTCTTGATATGCTTCTCCAGACTGTTCACCACCATGAACATACACTCAGTCCTTCCTAAGCAAAACTCTTACTTCGCCCACAGTAGCCATAGGTCAGGTTTGATTTCTTTTTTTAAAATAGTTCTCTTGATATAATATTCGCAAGTCATACACTGCTATAGGTAAATTGCTTTTGAAAAGAGTTGTATATACATCACCACAGTTAGCCAATCATTGTATTTGCTGTCTTACAGGTTCCTTTACCTGGCATGAAGTGGGTAGATAATCACAAAGGGGTTTTTAATGTTGAAGTTGTTGCAGTTTCATCCATCCACACACAAGTGAGTATAGCACCCAGGTCCTGATTATCAGTATTCTCATGTTTATACATTTGGTAATTATGGAAAAAAACAAAACAAAAACCAAAACTGATCCTTCATTACAACCTTTTTAGGAAGATCACTTGAAGAAAATATTTCTTATGATTTGGACTTTTCTTTACTTCTTGGATATATATTCCATGTATAGTTAGATCTCAATAATAAGCTTATGTTTTACTCATTGAGATATACATATATCAAACTAGTAATTAAAATCAGAAATAGAAAGCTGTGATGTGTTAATTTTTTTCATTAGCTGAGTAAAAGTTGTCCGGTAATCCAGTAGAGTTGGGGAATTTAAAGAGTAATCATTGTTTTCTATCTTTCTTATTCTTTGTTTAGGATCCTTATCTCGACAGATTTTTTGCTCTGGTGAATTCTTTGGATGAACACATGTTCCCAGTACGAATAGGGGATATGCGAATCATGGAAAACAACCTAGAAAATGAGCTGAAGAGCAGTATTTCAGCATTGAATTCATCTCAGTTGGAACCGGTGGTTCGATTTCTTCATCTTCTTCTTGATAAACTGATTCTGTTAGTTGTCAGACCTCCTGTCATTGCTGGCCAAATAGGTAACTTATACTTTTGTTTAGAGATTGATGCCATTTATAATTTGTCTCTACTAACGTTTGTAGAAATAGAACCATGGTAGCTATTTGCTATTTACAAGGGCTGTGTTTTATATTTTTAGGATACTATTTGTTATGCAAGAAAATGGGTGATTTCCTTGTCTGCTTTTATAAATTATACCATTAAAACTTCTCAAAGTATAGAAATTTATTTATTATGGAAGTATTTTTAAAGCACTTAATATTTGCCAGATATTGATAGTTCAGTAAATGGCAATGGGTGTCATTTGGCATCTCTATTGCACAAGGTAGGAGTTAGATAAGCCTCCGTAGTGTATTCTTTACCTATTCCGACACCAACTTTTCTTCCACACCATTCTACATCTGTGCTGGGTTCAAGAAATTATTGCAATGACCACACAGATTCCATAGCTAATACTGACAATTCAAGGAGTTATTGGGATGTTCCTAGGTTACCACGATTCAGGCTCAGCATACAGGGAGGACACAGCCGAGTCGCTCTCCTGTTCTTGGCCCTCAGCTGCACTGTGCTTGCTGAGGCTGTCTCCATGTCTTAGTCTCGCAGCCACGTAGTACTTTGGCCTTTGCTTCCAAGGGTCAGGGAACAAGCCTGCCTACCATGCCTCCCACAGTTCCATAGTCTTCGGCCAGAGAGGAAGAGGGTTCCCTGTAGTCTCGGTGCTGTTCTGAGTCTCCATGCTACAGTCTCTAATGCCTGTGGTCATGGTGGCCTCCACGACTTCAAAGAGCTGAACATGTCCTTCCGAGGTCCTCCGGGTTTTTCCCTTCTCTGTTGCTTCAAAGATGGCCCAGCCTTACAGCTGAAGGTCGGGGGTGGTGGTAGTTGGCAGTGGTAACGAAAACAGATTAATTCCCTCAAGAGTGTTACATATGTTCTGTTTTCATAGTCCCTCCTAGTCATTTGGTGGGAGTTAGAGACTTTGGAGGGGGTGGGAGTGCAGTGGTAGGTGCTTTCGAGTTGGTTCCGGCCCATGGTGACCTTGTGCACAACAGAAGGAAACACTTTTTGGTTCTGCACCATCCTCACATTTGTTCCTATAGTAAATCCAATTGTTGCAACCACTGTGTCAATCTGTCTCCTTGAGGGCCTTCCTCTTTTTTGCTGCCCCTCTGCTTTACCAAACATGATGTCCTTCTCCTGCCAATACACTCAAAGTATGTAAGGTGACATCTAACCGGACCCTCTGGACTTTGGTAGAAGAGCCATATTATGAAATTTCCCTCCATCAAGCAGCCATATAGCCCAGAAGCAACAAAGCCCACATGAAGGAAGCACACCAGCCTGCGTGCTCATGAGATGCCAAAGGGATTATCAGGCATCATAGAACAAATAATCATATCATTGTGTACTCACCTTCCCGAAACGATCACTGAAGACAAATGGGTGCATAAGCAAATGTGGCAAAGAAAGCTGATGGTGCCTGGCTCTCCAAAGATATAGTGTCTGGGGTCTTAAGGGCTTGAAGATAAACAAGCGGCTATCTAGCTCAGAAGCAACAAAGTCCACATGGAAGAAGCACACCAGCCTGTGCGATCACGAGGTGTCGAAGGGATCTGGTATCAGGCATCATCAGAACAAAAAAAATCATATCATTGTGAATGGGGGGTGGGGTGAGGAGTGGAAACCCAAATCCCATCTGTGGGCAATTGGACATCCCCTTACAGAAGGGTCACAGGGAGCAAACAAGCCAGTCAGGGTGCAGTGTAGCAATGATGAAACATACAACTTTCCTCTAGTTCCTAAATGCTTCCTTCCCCCACCCTCCCACCCCACTGTCATGATCCCAATTCTGCCTTACAAATCTGGCTAGCCCAGAGCATGTATACTGGTACAGATAGGAACGGGAAACACATGGAATCCGTGGTAGAAGATCCCTTCAAGACCAGTTGTGAGACTGGCTAGACCAGAGGATGTACACTGGTACAGATAGGAATGGGAAACCCATGGAATCCAGGGCAGAAGATCCCTTCAGGACCAGTGGTGAGAGTGGCAATACCGGGAGGATGGAGGGAATGGGGGGTGGAAGGGGGAACTGATTATAAGGATCTACAAGTGACTTCCTCCCTGGGGGACAGACAGCAGAAAAATGGGTGAAGGGTGATGTCAGACAGGGCAAGATATGACAAAATAATAATTTATAAATTATCAAGGATTCATGAGGAAGGGGGGAGACGGGGGCGGGGGGAGCGGGGGACGATGAGCTGATACCAGGGGCTTAAGTGGAGAGCAAATGTTTTGAGAATGATGAGGGCAATGAATAGAAAAATGTGCTTTACACAATTGATGTTTGTATGGATTGTGATAAGAGTTGTATGAGCCCCTAATAAAATGATTTAAAAATAAATATCTAGTTAACACATCAACAACAAAAAAGAAATGTCCCTCCACCACAGATAAGCACTGACCCAGGCATAGTTTCCTAACTTTAAGACTCTCACAGACTCAGTAGGAAAACAGACAAATACGTAAATCAGGTTACATCTTATAGAACATATAGTGTACTTGGTGGCATTGTGTCTGGCAAATGTTCAACTGCTAACCACAGAGTCCACAGTTTAAACTGACCCGCTGCTCTTTGGGATAAAGAAGGGGCTGTTTGCTTCCACAAAATCTTAGAACCCTTGTAGGGTTGCCATGAGTAGGAATAGACTTGATGACTGGGTGGTTTTTGGGCCGGTCGGGGGTGAATAGTGCACTTAGTCTAACAAAAATTTTGCTCTCTGCTATCTTCCATTTTTAAAAAAAGCTCTTCTACTTATTCAAAATCTATATAAAAGGGAAGTCAGAAGTTTTGCTACATAATTCTAAAAACCTTTATTAAACAAAAATATCACAGTGTAAATCTATCATTTCTCCACATATCCTCCATAGATCTATTTATCTCTGAAGGCAGTATTTTCATCTCTCTAACCCTTCCTCAAAGAAGTCTGCTTTTCTCTTTACAGTGTATCAGAACAGCGGTGTTGGCATCCCTGGGGAACTCAGTATGTTCCTTTTAAATGTTCTTTGAGTTTTGGAAACAAAATGAAGTTTAAAGGGGTAAGATTAGAACTGTAAGGTGGGTGGTGTAAGGTTTCCCAAGGAAATTTTTGTAGAGCAGCCCTGGCTACCTGAGGAAATTGCCTATGGGTCACACCTGTCCTCCTCTGGCTACACCGGGGAGAAGGAAAATCCAATTCCACTTCAGCTCCATGGCCACAGGCAGAGGTCAGAAATGCCTCCATGCATTCCTCTTTTACCCCATTCTGACATCAACTGTTCCTCTGCCAGTGCTCTACTCTCTAGCTAGGATTGATAATCTATTGCAGTAGCCCCAAGAACTCATAAGTATGGGGGTTTATTAGGGAAGTTAACCCTTTAACACAATCAGCCTCATAAAGCATCAGAAATTCAGTCTTTAGTCTATAACAGCTCTTCTCCTCAGCCAGTAGCCCACCATCTCTGGTCCTCAGTCTGTTAGCCTTTCCATGCCTTTGCCTACATGGTCCACCTTTTGCTCACTGTCTCATAGTCTTGGGGCTGCCCCTTTGCTCTGTCTCTTGGGTCTTGGTCTCAGCATTGCTGCTTTTATTGCCTCTGCTGCCTCCACCCCTTCAGATTGGAATCTTGCATGGGTGCCACTGATGGGTGTTGTTTCTTGATGGTCCTTGAATTCTCTGTTTTCTTGCTTCTGATGATGGTATTATACGCATGACAAAAATGACCAACCTCCGCTTTATTTGCATGATCCCACACAATTATTTTGTGGATGTTAAAGAGAAATGCATAGAAGAGCTATAAGTAATTCCACTTCACTATACTACCTCCATATTAGCCAAAAACAAAGATTTTGGAATTTATGGAATTCCCATTGAAATGTTTCAGCAAGCTGAAGAAACACTGGAAGCACTCATCATCTATGCCAGGAAACTTGGAATATAACTACTCAGCTAACTAACTGAAGAGATCGTATTTGTGCCCATTTCAAAGAAATGTGACCCAACAGAATGCTCAAACTCTAGAAAATATCATTGATATCACATGCAAGTAAAATTTTGCTTAAAGACATCCGACAACAATTGGAGCAGTATATTCACAAATCACTGTTAGAAGTTCAGGCTGGATTTAGAAGAGGAGTTAGAACAAGGGGTGTCATTGCTAATGTCAGATAGATCTTGGCTTAAAGCAGAGAATACCAGAAAGATGTTTACTTGTATTTTATTGACTATGCAAAGAAGGAATGCAATTGTCATGATCAAAACAAACTATACATAAGCTTGAGAAGAATAGGAATTCCAGAATACTTCATTGTATTCATGTGGAACTTGTACATGATCAAGAGGCAGCTGTGCGAACAGAACAAGGGAGTACTGTATGGTTTAAAATCAGGAAAGATGTGTGTCAGGATGGTTTCCTCTCCCTGTATTTGTTCCGTCTGTATACTGAGCAAATCATCAGAGAAGCTGGATTACCCGAAGAAGAATGCAGCAGCACGAGGACTGAAGAAAGCGTTACTAACAACCCGCCATGTGCAGATGGCACAACCTTGCTTGTTGAAACTCAGGAGGACCTGAAGCACTTGCTGATGAAGATGAAGGATTATAGCCTTCAGTATGGGTTACAACTGAATGTAAGGAAGACCAAAATCCTCACAACCCAACCCATAGGGAACATCATGATAAATGGAGAAAAGGTTCACGTTGTCAAGGATTTTGTCTTGGTTAGGTCTCCATTCAGTGCTCATGGAAGCAGCAGTCAAGAGATCAAAGACATAATGCATTAGCTAAATCTGCTGCACAGACCTCTTTAGAGTACTGAAGAAGTGGGGATGTTACTTTGAGAACTACGGTGCGCCTGACCCAAGCCCTGATATTCTCCATTGCCTCACATGCATGTGAAAGTTGGAAATCGAGCAAGGAAGACCGAAGAAGAACCCATGCAACATTGAATAGAGAAGACTGAAGAGCCCATGCGATGTTGTTCTCCGGCTCATGGAGTCCACTGAGCTGGAGAAGACTGTTGAAAGTTCCATGGACAGCTAAAATGACAAACCTAAAAGAAGTAAGGCCAGAGTGCTCCGTGCAGGCAAGGATGGAAAGACGTCGTCGTACGTACTTGGACATGTTATCAGGAGAGAGTGGTCCCCGGAGAAAGACATCATGCTTGATAAGGTGGAGGATCGTCATAAAAGAGGAAAGCCCCCGATGAGGTGGATTGACACAGTTGCTCAATCAATGGACTCCTGCATGGGAACAGTTGTGAGGATGGCACAGCACCACACAGTGTTTCTTTCTGTTGTGCATAGAGCTGCCGTGGGTTGGAACGGACTCAGTGACACCTTAAAACAAGAATATACTACCCCCCAAAAAAACGAACAGGTGTATTGTGATGATGCAAACAAATGCCTCAGGGCGTTTTCCTCACCAGTGCAGTTTTCAGTTGTCTTGAAATGTCTTCCTATTAAGCCCTGTGGTTGTTCTCTGCCCTTTAAGAGAAATCTATCCAGATTAGCCCTTTGGAAGTCCATGTGTAGTTGCATGACCTTCTGAGCTGACCTCTCTACCTTGAATTGAACTGGCTGTTTTGATGGGCCTTTTTTTTTTGAAGGCACCTCAAACTGAGACCCTTCTGTTCCTGGGAGAACGCTTCTGCATCCATCTATTGTTCACACACGTTTTGTTTGGAATGAGCCCTTACTTGTATAAAGTGGGACCCTACTAGCAATACCTTTTAACCTGTTCTTGTATTTACTCTTCTACTTATTCCAAGCGTTTACTTAAGTTCTGTAGAATGTTTTTACCTGAAAAAATATGGAAATATTCTGGAAAATAAATTTAATTTTATTGGTTTCAACTCCTTGATAGTTTTTTAAATGGAAGGCTTTTAAGTGGATGTAAACTTAAAACTGAGTATTTGAAATTGAGTAATATAATCTAACATATAAAGACTGGGCCAGGACCGTGAAATCGCATACAGTGGTACCTAGACAGATAAAATGAGCATAGACAGTCGGAGCGCATCTAAGCAATTATAAGTTGGTGGGTTGGCAATTAGAGATTATATTGGAGGGAGAGATGAAGTAGGGTCTTCCATGCCAATTTAAGGCATTAGACTATTGATTTCTCAATATTGGATTCAATAGTTTGTATTAACGGTCCGGTCTTAGGATAGTGACATGACTCAATATGTATTTTAAACAATGACTAAGCTCAGTGCAGATGGAATGAAAGTGGGAAAATATGGAGAGAAATCTGTTGCAGAAAATTTGTAGAATTTCACACAAAAGATATTACAAGTGTCATTGAATCAATTGACTTCTGATAAATGTAGGAGCACAGAGGGATGAAGGGAGAGGGGTTTAAGAAATACAGAAATGCACATACTGTTAAAATAATCAGAGGTTTTGAGGAAGAAACTATTAGCATTGTTTATGTTGTAGCAAAGCAATTATAAAAAACATTTAGCACTACACCTGGCTGTGTATGTGCTTAATTTTGACGAAAGTATGACTTCCTCACAAGCCTACGTGGTAGGCATTGTTATTGTCAGTCTTTCCTAAATAAATAAAGCAGTGAACTTACGACTTTAAGATTTTGCATCAAGTTGCTCACTCAGCTAATGTGGTGGACCACCACTTAAACCCAAGCAACTGGCCCCCGACTTCCTTTCCCTGATACTTAACAAGTGTTTACTGAACTGAACAAGAATGGTTTGGAATTGATTTAGGACAGGGGTGCCAAACTGGCAGCCTGCGGGGTAATTTTTTTGTGGCCCACGATGCTCTGAAATAAAATGAAAATAGAAAAAAATTGTTATGAAGAAAATAGTGCTTAGGGGAGATCAAGGCAACCGTACACACAATTACCTTGTCAACCCTGTAACTACTGAAGACGAGTATACACGTGGCCCAGTGCCTTTCCTGGGGGCCTGTGGACGTGTATGAACTCACTGACTCAGTTCCGGTGACGTTTGGAAGCGATATATCTGCCACTCTCAGTGTCATGTAATGTAAACAGACCCCAATAGCGAAAAGGTTAAAAAGAGCACTCTGGGTTGTGCTGTTATGAATCATACCTAGTGGCAGTGCTAGTTAACATTTTTAGAGGGAAGCCATTATGATTGTGCATCAAGAGGTAAGTGAAAAGTAATAGGAGGAAAACGCTGGCAAGTTTCGGGTAAAAAAGAATATTTTTAGTTTTATAAATACATTAAATAAAATAAATGTTTAAATAAAAGCAATTATATAGTGTTTTACTTATCCTATCCATATTCCTGAATCCTCACTTCAAAATATAAATTTAACAAAATTTGTAAATGTAATGTGGCCCGCGTGAATCTTGCCTGTTTCACCAAATGGCTCATGTGTTTGACAGAGTTTGACACCCCTGGTTTAGGCAAATATTGATGGCAGAAAATACCAGCTTACTGTGACCCCAGGAGTAAACACTAGGTGATTTGAAAAACAAAAAGCATATGCCTGAATTACTTTTTAAAGACATTTGGTTAGACGAGGAGTGGGGCTTCAGCAGCACCTCAGACTGGGAAGCTCAAGCACGTGCATGTCTGTTTAGGAGGGAGCCCTGGTGGTGCAGTGGGTTAGCACCAGGCTGCTAATGACCGAGCCAGTGGTTGACCCTTAATATTGGCTTCCTTTTTATTACATAGCTTCCTGTCTTGACTTAATTCATCTTAAAGTCAGGCTTTTTTGTTCAATATATTATTATTGTTTGCTAACCCATTTATTCATTGTGCTACCCGGATTCTACAATTTTTACAAAATTCTTGATATATACTGACTTGAACGACTGGGCAGGTATTAGCCTGGCATGTAAGTTTCTTTGCAGTCTTCCCTCAATTTATTTTTCTACCCTGTCTTTTTTTCCTCCATATCTCTTTATAGAATCATTCGTTTTCAGATTGCTTGTTCACTGTTCCCTTCCTGAAGTTAGTATTTTTAATAATCTATTTTTGTGCTGATTAGTTTTTTAAACAAAAGTAAAATGTGTTTATTGTGTGTTTACAGTGTCATTAAAAATGAGAAGTTGCTTTTTACATCTGATTTGTAAGGTCGATTACTTATATTTGTGTCAGGCTTTCTGTTGGTTTAACAAAATGATGGGTAGCTGTTGAGCAGTGATTTATGACTGACTAAATCCATACAGTTTTCATGTTAAATTAGTAAAATTATTTTCTCTCCATTTAAATTAGAAAAGTTTTTCATTTAACTAATAACATGACAAAATTCAACACAAATTTTCTTTATACAATTATAATGTGTAATCTCTATACTTAAAGCAGATAGAGATTTTAAAACCTTAATCTTCTTAGAACTTCAAAAATGTTTTCCTCCTCCTTAAAAGTTAATCTAGGTCAAGCATCTTTTGAAGCCATGGCATCAATTATAAATCGACTTCATAAAAACTTAGAAGGAAATCAAGACCAGCATGGCCGAAACAGCCTACTTGCATCATATATCTACTATGTTTTTCGCCTACCAAATACTTATCCTAATTCACCGTCACCAGGTATTTTTTTCTTTACCGTGAAACTGTTTTGCATAATTATTTGTCCATGGCAGATTGAGACCATTTTTTATTTTATAGCCTGTTCATTTAACAGCAATAGATTTATTGTGATGTATTCACTTAATAATAAGCATTTACCAAGTGCTTGGTACGTATCAGGCACTAGGATAGGTGTTGAATTTAAAAAGGGTAAATAAGTTATATTTCTAAGCATGATTATTTATATGGCTTCCTTTATTTTGAAATAGAGCCTTTGGTTGAATTCATTATTAGAAATAAATTTTGTAAATAACCTCTTGTCTTTCTGGAGGCCTTTTGCCATTTTCTGTTAAGAGAAGTAGAATCTTGTAATTATCTGCCATTTGCTGTCCTGTTGGGCATAGAAGAAGATATAAGATTGCTACTAGTGTCTTGAAAACTCTATGAAGCCATCAGTAATATAAGGAATAGTGCTCTTAAAAACTCATCTCTTCATGGTTAATTCGATAAAATAGCTTTTTGAGTACTAAAACTCATAGTAATTTCTCACCGTTTTTTGACATTGGTGACAATAATAGTGGGGAAGGAAGTATGTCTTTGTTTCGAAGGCCTCTTTAATTGTTCACTTAGCTAGTGATTTTATTATGTAAATTGGCTCACCCTGTAGTGACTGTCAAAGTACAGAGCCCAAGGGTGGGAAAAACGTGTACACTTTGGCCTAGAGCATTTTGGGTCCTCATTTCACCTACTTTTACTTGAAGATAGTATTTTTGTTTGTGTTACCTTTTTTGTTTATGTGTAATATAAAATCATAAACTATTATAGGTCCTATAAAATCATGATTTTTGTCAACTGCTGTCAAGTAGCTTTATAGTTATTATTACTTATGCCGAGTATTTTTCATTTAGAAGCAGAGGCAATTTATGACCTTTGTGAAACTTTTTTAAATGGCAGAGGTTTTTTCCTGGCTAATTATTTTGTTTAATTTTGTGTTGTATTTTACATACTTCCAGGTCCTGGGGGTTTGGGAGGATCAGTGCATTATGCCACAATGGCTAGATCTGCCGTGAGACCTGCCAGCCTTAATTTAAATCGCTCCCGGAGCCTTAGTAATAGTAACCCAGATATATCTGGGACTCCCACATCACCAGATGATGAAGTACGGTCAATCATCGGCAGTAAGGTAAACTGAAGATGCGGGTTTATAAATTTAGTTTTTAGTTTCTGAAGAAATGAGAGCTGTTCAATTGTTTAAATTTATTCTTTATTTTGATATATCTTTGAGATAGTAATAATCAAGAAATTATTACTTTTCTTCTAGTGAGCTCTTGGTGTTTCATTCTGGTCTGAAGAGTCTGCTCAAAATTTCTGTCCAGTTTATAAAAAGTTTTAGGATCACAAGGCACATTATAACTTGATTTTTTTCTGCTTAATTCTCCATCCTATGAAAAATGGCTACCTGGATTTTCTGAGCAATCAAAAAGATCTGTGTGGCTGCTGTGTAGAAGAGATATGTCTAAACTGATTTAAAAGATATTCCCCCCGCCCCACACACACATACAATCAAGGATAATGATTAGCTCTGATTGATAATGGAATAAGATTTGAGACCAAAACTCTACGTGAGGTACCCCTCGAGCTAGAATAATGCTTTATTTAATGAAGGTAAATGATTACCCAGGATTTCCTGGAGGATGCAAATGGTTAACATGCTCGGCTGATATCCAAAAGGTTGACAGATTAAGTTCACTCAGAGGAACCCTGGAAGTAGGGCTCAGCAGTCTAGTGAAAAATCTGCATCGAGAATCCTATGGAGCACAGTTTTCCTCCGACATACATAGGGTTGCCGTTACTTGGAATTGACTCAAAGGCAACTGCTATTTTAATGATTATCACACACAACTGGAGAGAGGCTAGCCAGTATGAGATTCAGCCATATTTTATTATTATTAAAAGATATATCTTAACTATACCAAAAATATACGTAAGAAACATTAGCTATCTTGATATAAAGTACAGAAATAACTAAAAATTTAAGTAGCTGGACCAAAGCACAATTAATATGTTCTATTATTATAAAGGAGGCAGATAATCATTGTTATAGAATCATAGGCAATTTTTCCTTTTTGGGGGTAAGATCTCTTTATTCTCATTATCACTGTATTGAGAAAATTGAAGCCATCAGAAGAAACGTTAACACTTCCACTACCCTATCAACCTACTACTATCTCCAACTCACTATTTAATACTTGGCCTTTTCCCCCATTGCTGTACATCCCAGGTGACCAAACTTATTTGGCCTACTACCTTCTTCTCAGACAACATATCACTCAGCTCCCTCCCCCCACAATTAAAATCTCTTATATGTTAGCCCTTAATCCAGGAGTAAATATAGACATCTGCTTTTGCAGCCATCCTGGATCAGCCCAGCACCCATCAGGGGTGCATTATAGCCCATGTTGGGAAACTTTGCTGTAGATGGAGTTTCCTTCTCCTAACTTGTATGTAAGCACCCCTGCCCTCTCACCCACTCAAGATCCATTTCAGCGGTCATAACAACTCTCTCCTACCACACCAGTTTTCCTTATCTGATTAACTAGTCCTGTCAGCCTGTGACTATCCACTGCTAGCTTCTTCATCCTTCACTTGCTACCCTATGAAGTATAATTCCTGAACAGTCTTTATACTCAGCATCTCCAATTTTTTGACTCCTATTCTCTTCAATCAGATAGTCCTTCCATTTTCCACCAATACCTTCTATGTTGCTAAGTCCAATGAGTCATTCTCAAAACTCAGCTTACTTAACAAACGTCTTTAACACAGTTGAATTTTATTTCCTTCCATGCTTTATTTTCTCTCCGGGACACTGACTTCTTGCTTTCCTCCTACTGTACTGCTTTTAAGCCTCCCGTGTAGATTCTTCCTTTTCTGGTCTCTTAACCTAGAAATTCCTCAGGCCTCTTTACTTATTTCTGCTCTGCACCTCTCTTTCCCTTCACTTCTTTCCTACACTCACTCACTCACTCACTCACTCACTCTTACCCAATCTCACAGCTTTTAACATGCTGATGACTCCCAAACTGTTTCCAGTGTAGAACTCTCTGCAAATCTAAACTCAGCAGCTGCTTTTGAACATAATTTTCCTCAGATTTGAATATATTTTAATAGTGAACTATATCAACACCTTTACTACTCCTTCCGTGTTGGTCTGAGCTATCATCATCTCTTTCTAAATCATTGTATGAACTCTACAGATAGTCTTCCTGTTGCCATGCTTTGGCTGTTCTACAGTCTGTCCACAATACAGCACCCGGAATTTTGCTTCAAAGCTTTAAGTCAAAAGTGTGTCAATCCTCTGAGCCATTTCCCCCTTTGATGCACTCCCTTTCAACATCCTGTAAGTGCTTACTCAGCGGGCCACCTTTCTAGCTAGGTCCACCTTTACCAACCACCTTATTTTACTGTATACCCATGCTCTTTCCCTTTAGACCTGACCCTGGGACTTCCATTCTCTTTCTCCTTCTTGTTCCTTGGAGAAGTTTTTAATGAGACAAATAAATGACTTCTTAGGTTTCTTTAGTATTATTATTTTCCTGTACTAGACTGTAAGCCCCACAAGTGCAGGCATATTTGTTCAATTATGTGCCCAAGTATGTACAATACTCTCCCAGCATATTGAAGGGGCTGACGGGATATTTATGAACCAAAGTCAACAATGAGTATCCATAACAAGGTCAAACGACCTTTAGAAATAATAGATTATGCTTCTGTTTGCCTTCTCACTATCAGAATTAATTGTATATTTCAGAATCTTCGGTGATGAGGCATTCTGAAAATCTTGGTTAGACTTTATTTCCTATTTTTAAATGTAGAATTCATAAAATCCAAACATACTTGTTTAATATGAACAGGTTTTTATTATTCTAGTGCCTATATAAACATGACTGAGATTTTCGTCAAAATTATCTGGTGAAAACTATCTGTTATTTCTTAATCTTAGCAATAATCTTTAAATTTCAGTTGTTCAAATATATGATTGCATCAGGTTAAGCTTTTATTTCTCTAACTAAAATACTAGTACAACATTGCATTGGTAAATAACTTTACTCTGTTATCCTTTTTTTTTTTAATTAATTGTTTAAACAACAATAGCTTACCATGTGCTAGGCTTTAAGCTGGAAACTTGTGGATACAAAGCCAGATCTTAAAATCGTAATGAAAATGGTGAAGTCAAATCAAGTATAATATGGGCCTTGCTCAGGAGGCCCTATTGTTATATAAGGTACAGAGAGAGAAGGAAAATACTTTCACACACATGTGTGCATGGTTTGTTAACCAGTTTCTTGGCGATCAGTAAATATGGTTATAACATTTGCAAATATTAGTGATAAATTTGCTTGATTAAGGATTGCTTTCTATAATATATAACATTAATACAGAAATTGTGGAAACTATTTACAAAATAACAGACCACATTTTATTTCAAGGAAAGGGAGGAAGGATAGGAAAGAGAATCCAGCTGTAATTCTCTAGGGCTTAGCTTGTGAGGGAAATTTCCTTGAAAAAATACAGAGAAAAATAAAAATGTAAAATAACCATCCATTTCTGCTCATTTTTAACAAGATGGTAGCTAAGTTAATCTAACGTAAATTGTCGATTCTTTTTTTGTTTTTTACTCTATAAAAATGGAATAATGATGTCTCCCCACATAGAAAAGGTCAAATAAAACAATGAAAGTATATTACTAAACAAGAGAATCAGGAATTTATGTTAGATTGTATAGCTACTTAGTAGCAGAGCCTGGTTTTGAATCTTAGCTACATTTTACTTTGAGAACTGCAGTTGGTTTCTCTTTCCCATCCTTCCTCCCTTTCCTTCTTGCAATCTCCCTGGAATTACTTTACACGCACTGACGTCGGCTCCCTCCCAGAGATTCTGCGTGGGCCCCGTTGAGTAGAGTCCTGTGTGTTCCTGCCGTAGATAGGGGAGATCACCAGTATTGAAGCTGTGTCTGTCCTTTCGCCTGTCTTCCTTTGGTGTTTCTTGTTTGAGTCCAAATTTGGTACTTTCTTACTGTCAATACTATCCTAAATTAATGATGGCAGTGATGAAGCTTTTGGTAATTCCTATAGCTACTCCTCACATAGTAATTTTCCTTCTAATATATAGATAAAATATTTAACCCATTGTGTTTAATAAAAATGAATAATATCTCAAACTGAACCCACCATTTAAAAAATTTTAACCATTTTATTGACATATAATTCTCATCGTACAATTCAGTGATTTAAATATATACTAAAAAGAGTTGTGCAGTCACCACTATCATCAATTTTGAAACATTTCTTCATTTTGATACTCATTGTTATTAGCTCTCCATTATCCACTAACCTCTCCTGCCACAATCTCAGAAACTATTAATCTAGTTAGTACTGCCTCCATAGATTTACCCATCCTGGATTTCACATAGAGAAAATCATTCCTGAAAATAAGCTAGCAAGCAAACAAAACAGAACAAAACACAGAAAAACTTCAATCCAAAGGAAAGCAGAAAATAATAAAAACCGGAACAAATTAAAAATACCCACCATCATATTTAAGGAAGCATATGTAATAGACATCATTTTCTCCCATCCTCTTAATTTGTTACTTAATTATTTTAAATGTAAAGTGTTGTGCAAAGTGTGCAATTTATTATAATTTTGTCAAATTAGATTTTATTTACCTAAGGCTTGTTTAATATTCCATAGTGCCTAAAACAGTTGAGTGAGGAGGCAAGATCAAACAGGATTTTGGAGTATCAATGCACAGTAATTTTCAGTTGGTGAAAAATATAATTATTTTAGGAAAGAATGAGACTGTTTTGTTCCATTTTCTCCTTCAAATTCCAGTTCAATTCAGAGGAAATTGTCTTTTTTTTACTACCTTCTGCCGTCTTTAAATGGATTGGGAGGCAGGGTTGGCGTTGCAGGAACTTTAGTTGTTGCTATTTCCAGGTGAACCCTTTGCATAAAGAGAAATCATCTTCAAATGTCGGGCTTGTCGCTCTTGGTGATTTTTAAAAATTAATTGGGGTGAACTAATACTCTATGGGTGCCTATAAAATTTTATTGCTTTTAACAGTACTAATTAAAAACATGTCTGCATTGGAAGTCTAGATTTCTTTGAGAATAATTATGGCATGCGATATGTAATATTTCTTTCCTTTCCAACTGCTTTCTATTATATGCTTAGGGTTTAGATCGCTCCAATTCCTGGGTTAACACTGGTGGTCCAAAAGCTGCCCCATGGGGATCCAACCCCAGTCCAAGTGCAGAAACAACACAGGTGGTGTTTACATTAGAGGCTTCTTTATTGGCTGCTGATGTTTCCTTTTAGAATATTACTTTTTAGATATATTATGATTTCAGTGGCTTGCTTTCTCAATCATTAAAAAGTTTGTATATTTTGTTTACTTAGCACATTTTCCAGCTACTATGCATGAATACCACCAGCTGCACCAGTAATGCTCTTCCTATTTCCTGTCTTCTCGTCTTTTCTTCCTTGTATACCCTGTCCGTAGTTTGATGCCTGCTGCTTATGCAATTGATGGCCTTATAATAGTTCCTACTTTAGGGGGTAATACATATTTAGTAGACAGGTTTGAATTTTTGTATGGAAAACACCCCATAGTTTTTCATTTACTTTTGGTTTTAAATGTAGCAGCTGCATCATTTTCATTTAGTGTTTACTACTTGGTCATGTTTTTCATAATCACTGGTAATACGTGGAGATTAAATGTGAATCATATATTAAGATTGGTACCCATTCTGTAAGTAAAAATCCATTTTAATTTAAACTGTGTTGCAAAGTATGAAATTTGTTCTAATTTAGTGGGATTAGATTTTGCTGACTTAAGTCTTGTTGCTTGGTAGCTAATACTGCATGGCTCCTCAAAATGTACTTCTCAGCTGTATACTGGCTTTGGAGGAAAAGTTTCTGATTCTTGAAGAAAATCCTAAAACTATGTTTAATATTATAGATAATTTCTATTTGATGTACCATAGGGCACACCTAAACACTAGTTTATAATAGTGAAAAAAGTAAAAGAAACCTTTAAAATGTTCATATTTTCCTTTGTTGAAATAAACTGTTTTCTCTTTTAGTCTAAGACCAGTTGAGAAGTATATTTTAACTTTTTATATTTTCTTACTAGCTATGTGCATGTTTTTAAATCACACAGTTAAAAGTTTCATTCTTTGCAGCACTCGGGATAGTATATAGCCATTAAGATGCTCTTTTAAAAACTTTGAAATGTATAGAAGTCACTCTTATACTTTTAAAGCATTGTCACTTAAAGCAGTTTAAAATGTTGAAAACAAGATGAGGAATAAAATAGATGGTTGTTGAAACCATGTTAAAACTCTAGATTTGAAAGTGTACAGCATAATCCTTGAGCTGCAAAAAAATGTTATCTCATCATTCATTCATCTTCACTCCATAGGCTGTGGATCGAAGTTGTAATCGTATGTCTTCGCACACAGAGACGTCAAGTTTCTTACAAACATTAACGGGACGTTTACCGACAAAAAAGGTAGATTCATACAAAGACAGTTCATATAGGGGGAAAATAATTCCATAGTTCCAGCAAATAAAAAGATGTAAATTTCCTCTACGTAACCATTATGAGATGTTAGAATCGTTGCGTTGCGTTTTAAAACACGTCTGAGCAAACACTGCCTATCTGGTGCCTTTTTTGACACACATCTTCAGTGTAAGATCTTTCACATGATGATAATATTTACATCTTGTGGGATAGACTGTTTTCAGAGTTCAGCAAATTCAGATTTAATCGGTAGATTTTCATACCAAATATGTAACAACTCTATTCTTTTTCTGTAACTGCTTCTGTTTTGTGTTTTGAATCTCCAGGGAAAGGAAGATGAGTTAGAAAAATTATCACTCTTAGTAAGATATGTTGATTTGCTTCTCATGCACAGTTTTGTTAGTCTTATCTCATATTTTTATATACACTGATTTGCAAATGTTTTGTATGCATATCCATTGTAAGGCAGAAATTTTCTTTTTTAAGAAAACATTTTTTAAAAGACTTTAAATACCTGAAAACTTGAGAAGCAATGGCTTAAATCAAAATTCAAAATTTTAAAGGTATTTCCTAAATTTCCTAAATTGTACCGGCAAAGTTGATGAATTTAATTGTATATGTTAACATCAATATTTAAGGCAAAAACAAGATTTAATTTGTACCTAGTTTTGGTCTAGGTTCTGTTTGCGGGTACAATTTAGAAGGCTGTTTGTCACTTGTCCTTTTAAAATTACATTTTACTCAAAGAAAACATGAGTTTTTTCCCCAGCTGTTAAGCATATCACTGTCTTACTCGTATAAATAGCCGTTTCGTTAATGGGTGTCTTCATTGCATCACTGAATGGTTCGCAAGCCTTGTTTTGCTTATTCCCATATCATTTGTGTTTGCATTATGGTGGAATTCATTTTGCCAGCGCTTTGTTCTTGCTAATAATTCTGGGTTTACTTCCGGATAGCTTTTTCACGAGGAGCTGGCTTTGCAGTGGGTTGTTTGCAGTGGCAGTGTTCGAGAAGCAGCTTTGCAGCAAGCCTGGTTCTTTTTTGAGTTAATGGTGAGCAAACTAAATACATTGGTTTACATATTGTTTTCTTAGTGAACTGTTTTGTTTTTATTTTTTTGAAATCATTTTATTGGGGGCTCGTACAACTCTTATCAGAATCCATACTTACATCCATTGTGTCAAGCACTGTTGTACATTGGTTGCCATCATCATTCTCAAGACATTTTCTTTCTACGTGAGCCCTGGGCATCAGCTCCTCATGTTTTCCCCTCCCTTTCCACCCCTTTTAATGAATTGTTGTACGGTAGTTCATTTTTAATCTTTGGATTCATTCTCTATTGCCTATCATTTGGTTATACATGTGCTTCCAAGACAAAATTATGTTATTAAATCTGCAAAATAAATGTTGTAGACTTTGAGCCATTTACTGTGAAATTAGGAAGTTTGAGGTTCACTTACACTCTATTTCCTCCAGAGATATTTGCAGAAACTGTCTCTTTTTAAATGACAACTTTTTGGCATATTCTCTCCTTGCTTGAACATGCAGTTGTTTTTAATTTATTTTTCAAGTTTTATTGGCAAGTAATTTACGTATCATATAATTCAATAGCTCAATCATTTATTCATGTCAAGGTGCAGTTGTTTTTATTGGCAGTACTACAGGGTTTATACCAGGAACAAGATGAAAATATCTTTATAGGTCTTTTCATTGCTAGAATGCTCTTGCGGGAAGTACCAGTCAAATGAATGCATAAATAAGCATATGTCAATAAACAAATACAAGCAACAAACATCAAGAGCCCACAGTGTGCTGTTAGCATTACTCTATGGATTAGATATTACCAGGCACAGAGAAGTTAAGGAACTTTTCTAAGTATATATAGCTTGAAGGTAACAAAATAAGACTTTAAGCAGAAGGCCTATTGGCTTTTCAGGAGTTTTCTCCTAAACTTAAAAATGGAAAACCTAGACAACTGCAATCGTTGGGTTTTTTCCCTTCATTTAAATAAATGAATAAAGCAAATGGAGAAGAAATGGAAAAGAGAGGAAAGAAGCAGAGGGGGACATTTAGAATATAGAAGATCATTCTCAACAATGATTAACACATATTTTAAATACGAAGGTATTTTTCTCTTGTGATTTACTAGTATACAACAACAAAAAAGTGAGAGGGAGCTAATTTTTATTCACTAAAATTTACATTTCATGTGCTTTAAATTATAGATCAAAATGATCATTTTGGCATCATTTGATAGTTGTTCATGTACCTTCAGCTTTCTTAAACCTAGTCTAAAGATGACAGTCTGAGATGTTGCACTCTCATTTGCTATCTGCAGAATGGTAGTTTAGTTTCCCTGATAGTTCTATATTTTTTTTAGTACCATTACCACAGTCTGTGCTAAGACTGTATATCTAAAAGCATTTTAAAAATTGGACTCTATTAGCTTTTAATATTTTTTACATGTAGTCATTAAATATTATACACCCAGTCTGTGTTAGATGCTAAAGATATAGCATTTAAGACAAAGCTTCTAATTTTTCTATACATAGATCATATGAGTAGAAAATGATAAAAATTACCGAGTTTGGGGGAAATTTCCATTTTTAAAAAAGTTTCATAGGATAAAATTTTGTTCTTTTGACATGCACAAATTTTGTCCATATTGATAGTATGGTTTTATGAAGGTAACCCAGTGATTGAGTTGTATTTAATATATAAGTTATATAAAATACTATAGGGAACTTTAAAAATTGCAAGGCTAAACATTTTTTCAACTCTCCTTTGCTTCACATAGTATAGAGGGAAAAAATCCCGGTGTTTAGAATTGTATGAGCTCTTACTTAACTCCATAAGACATTAGCACTGATGGCTTCCATCCTTTTTCAGGTAAAGAGCATGGTCCATCATCTATACTTCAACGATAAACTTGACGCATCGAGGAGAAATCGTTTCCCAGAACGTTTCATGGACGACATTGCTGCTCTTGTCAGCACAATTGCTAGTGATATTGTTTCACGGTTTCAGAAGGTAACAATAACTTATTTTACTCAATATCTCTTTCAAGCTAAATGTCATATATTTATGTTTTTGCTTTTTCCTCTGTTTCTCAGGACATAGAGATGGTTGAGAGACTCAACACAAGTCTGGCTTTCTTCCTGAATGATCTGCTGTCTGTAATGGACAGAGGATTTGTCTTTAGCCTTATTAAGTCCTGCTATAAACAGGTAATGCTTAATTAACAATCAAATATTTTAATTTTAATGTGTGATTTTGCTCTCTTTTAGGCCTTAAAATCTTAAGATACTTTCAAAAGCACATGCTTACACTGATGTTAAAAAAATGTAGCATATTTTTAATCATTAGGAAAAATAAGTTATATTCATTTTATTAGTACTCAAAACTGTGACAAGCTGACATTTCTCTGAGCTGTATGGGCCCTGTCATGACCACTTTTTAATTCTCATTCTGGTGCAGACCAACAAATCAGTATCTCAATGTAAAAGTGCCCTGTCTTTGTGGCACGTACACTGAACTCTTGAGTGATTGCTAAGGCAGCTGCATTTTACTGAGATTTAGATGTGGCCGCCAGGCCCATATATAATTCAATATGATGCTTTTGCTAAATTCTAAGTATCTTGGAATTTTTCCATGAACAGCTGATTATGTTCTAAATGTTGCTGATCAATTAATGAAAGTTTTTATCTTACTTACCTAGTGGCGCCTTAACAGAAGTGTTACAAGCAGACATCACTATGAAATTCATGCTCTCACAGTTCTGTTTATAACTCAGAATAATTAGTTTCAGGATCCACCTACTTTGGTATGATCTGATTAACATAGAAAAGGGGTAGGGGCCAGGATTTTTAATACTTTTAACATAGAAAAGGGGTAGGGACCAGGATTTTTAATACTTTTAACATAGAAAAGGGGTAGGGACCAGGATTTTTAATAGCTATATTGAGAATGAACACAATTCAATTTATAATATTTGCTTTTTGGAGAGCATTAGTTATTCATTCTGATGGGCTACTTGGGTAATGAGCTACACATGTGGGCTTCCAAAAGTTTGTGCAAAAATGAATTTGGAGATAATGGAATTTTTCCTTGAACTTTTTGAATCCCTCATGTATAATCAATCCAGGATTAACCTCGAGAGCTTTTAAAATACAGATCTCTGGGTTAGAACCTTAGTGATGGGAGTGGATGATGGTTATAAAGCACTTCCCAGAAGATCTCATTTGGTTTAGGCAGTTACTTGCTGCTCTAGAATGCTTTTTGGCAGCCGTATGTTTAGAATTGTGAAGATCTGCTTTCTTATATGCCTTTACTGTTTGTTTCTTTTAATTGAGGAGTTAAGAACTATGCTTGGACACTGAGACACTTGAAAATATTGGCAATACTGTCTATTATTATCACTTTTCCCTTAAAATTTCATGCTACTAAATTCTATCCTGTCTTCATTCTTCAGACGTTGACGTGCTAGGTTTGTCAAACATTGTATTGAATCCTAGACATAATAAGTATGTCTCCTCAAATGGTTTATGGTGTAATAGGGATAATAAATAAGTAGAAAGGAAATTAAAAATCCAAACAAAAAGCATGTGCTGTGAAAAGAATGATGCATTTTTTTCCCCCCCAGTAGATTCTCTCTCATTCTGATCCGACAAGACAGGGTAGAACTTTCTGAGACTGTAATTTTTTGTTTTGTTTTTATTTATTTTTAATCATTGTATTAGGGGCTCGTAGAAATCTTATCACCATACACATATCAATTGTGTAAAGCACATTTGTACATTCTTTCCCCTCATAATTCTCAAAACATTTACTCTCCACTTAAGTCCCTGGCATCAGCTCCTTATTTTCCCCTCTCTCCCTGCTCCGCCCTTCTTCACGAACCCTTGATAATTTATAAATTATTATTTATAAATAACCCTTGCCCTGTCCAACGTCTCCCTTCATCCATTTTTCTGTTGCCCGTCCCCCAGGAGGTCACTTGTAGATCCTTGTTATCAGTTCCCCCTTTCCACAACCCACCCTTCCTCCACCCTCCCAGTATTGCCACTCTCACCACTGGTCCTGAAGGGATCTCCTGTGTTTCCAGTTCCTATCTGTCCCAGTGTACATCCTCTGGTCTAGCCAGATTTGTAAGGTAGAATTGGGGTCATGATAGTGGGTTGGGGGGAGGAAGCATTTAAGAACTAGAGGAAAGTTGTATGTTTCATTGTTGCTACACTGCACCCCAACTGGCTCGTCTCCTCCCTGCGACCCTTCCGTAAGGGGATGTCCAATTGCCTACAGATGGGATTTGGGTCTCCGCTCCGCAATCCCCCTTATTCACAATGATATGATTTTTTGTTCTGATGATGCCTGATACCTGATCCCTTCAAAACCTCTTGATCGCTTAGGCTGGTGTGCTTCTTCCATGTGGGCTTTGTTGCTTCTGAGCTAGATGACCGCTTGTTTACCTTCAAGCCTTTAAGACCTCAGACGCTATGTCTTTTGATAGCCGGGTACCATCAGCCTCCTTCGCTACATTTGCTTATGCATCCACTTGTCTTCAGCAGTCGTATCAGGGAGGTGAACACACAATGATATGATTTTTTGTTCTTTGTTGCCTGATAACTGATCCCTTCAGCACCTCGTGATCACGCAGGCTGGTGTGCTTCTTCCATGTGGACTTTGTTGCTTCTCAGCTAAATGGCCGCTTGTTTATCTTCAAGCCTTTAAGACCCCAGGTGCTATATCTTTTGATAGCCACAAAACCCAAATTTTACCACTTACTAAGTTTTAAAATGATTTAATGCTTCATTCTGGTGCTAATATTACAGAATTGATTTTTTTCTTTTTGTGTTGTTTTATTTATGCATTGTTTACTAGGTATCTTCAAAGCTTTATTCATTACCAAATCCAAGTGTTTTAGTATCCTTGAGGTTGGATTTTTTGAGAATCATCTGCAGCCATGAGCACTATGTTACGTTAAATTTACCTTGCAGTTTACTTACTCCCCCTGCATCTCCTTCCCCTTCTGTTTCTTCAGCGACATCTCAGGTATGTGAAATATCAGATCATATGTGTTTATGTACAGGCTTTATATACACATGCATATATGTAATTTTTTGGGGGGAAATGTTGGTACTGGTAAAACAGTTTACATTTAATTGAATAATAGTTAGGTGATAAGCTCAATTCTTAAGTATTTATTAATTTAATCCTTGGAGCAATTTTATTAAACCAAACACATTGCCATTAAGTCCGTTCTGATTTATGATGATCCAATATAGATTTGTTTCTTTTGGCGTTCCATGAATATTCAGAGCTCCTTAAATGCAGATAGCACCGATTGTGTCCCCAGGAGTGACTGGTGGGTTTGATCTGGTGGGTTTAGTATTCACCATCACTCTCTCTTCCCATAGAGATTTACAGCCTTGGAAACCCTGTAGAGCAGTGGTTCTCAACCTTTCTGATGCCGTAACCCTGTAGTACAGTTCCTTATGTAATGGTGACCCGTCAACCATAAAATTTATTTTCGTTGCTACTTCATCACTGCCATTTTGTTACTGTTATGAATCGGATGACCCCTGTCAAAGGGGCATTCGGCCCCCAAAGGGGTTGCGACCCTCAGGTTGAGAATCGCTGCTGTAGAGGGTAGCTGTGTATTAGAATTGCATCGATGACAGTGGAGTTTTGGGTTAAGTGCACCTTAGTCTTCAAAGTGGTATCTTGACTTTTCAGCACTTTAAAGAGATCCTTTGCAGCAGATGTACCCAGTGTGGTATGTTGTTTCATTTCTTGACTGCTGCTCCTCAGGGCATTGTATATCCAAGTGAAAATTAAATTCCTGACAGTTTCCGTCTTTCCTCCACATTCATGCTGTTACTTATTGGCACAGTTGTAAAGAGGAGTGTTTTCTGAAGGCTGGGCCTCCTTGGTGACAGCGAGTGTGTGGAGTGTTTGGTCTTCGGAAGTGCTTCACGTGTTCTTGCTTGTAGCCAGTGAGGTCTGGTCTCCGGGCTATCGCAGGTTGTTAACAGAGCTTTCTTCCAACCCCGATGCAATGTTCTTTTTAAGACAGTACAGCTTCTCATATTATTTTTGCTCAGCATGAAGTATCTCTTGAGGCATTTTAATTTGCAATATTTAACAACTCTTAGAAATGTCCATTGGCGAGTAGGGTTTAAGATGACCTTAAATTTCCAAGGAATAGTTCATTACTCGTATTTAGAATTAATAGACCAAAAACCAAACTCACTGCCTTTGAGGCATCGCCAATTCAAAGTCATAGTGACCCTAGAGGGCATGGTAGAACTGCCTCTGTAAATTTCCAAGATGACAGTTCTTTACGGGAGTAGAAATCCCCTGCACAGCTGCTGGTGATTTTGAACTGCTGAAATTGGGGATCACAGCCCAATGGTAACTACTACGCTACCAGAGTTAATTTTGAATTGACAAATTTGATTATAAATATTTCTCTTGAATTCTGTAATTAACAAGTCTACATTTATCATTTGAACTTAATTGACTTTTTTTCTCTTTAAAGTATAATATTGAAACATTAAGTGACTAAATAAAGGGCAAAATAAAGGGAAAAGGTTCATTGTGAGAAATAGGATATTGACAATAATTAGAAGTATTACGAAATAATTGTTTCTTATGTCAAGTGTAAGAGCAATTATTTTCTCCATTACTCCTGGTTAGCGTTTCACCTCCCTGTTAGCTGATGCTCACACCTCATGCGCTGCAGTGCTCATTCTCAATAGGACGTCTTATTACAAAGCTATTGCAAATTCTTTTCACCCGGTTTACAACAGAGTTCTGGATTTTCCACAAATGTACAAGACCAGAAGATTGCAAATATGTTTGAATTGTCCGTACCATTCCGGCAGCAGCATTATTTGGCAGGACTTGTTTTAACTGAGCTGGCCGTCATTTTAGACCCTGATGCAGAAGGGTGAGTAGACTGGTTTTTGCTGCATAAAATAGCGATTGTATTTGAATAATGAGGAATGACTATCTCATTTACCTCTCCTAAGAATCAGAATACTTTTTCCCCCATTTTTGAAACTTTGATTTATCACCACATTTGAGGTATGTCTTTAGATCAGTGGGCATTGTGGTTTGTCCGTATTTTGTTTACTTCTTAATAAACCAAAACCAAACCAAATGCTGTCAAGTCAATTCTAATTCACATCGACCCTGTAGGACAGCTCTGAATTCCACAGGCTTTCCAAGGGTGTAGTCTTTCCTGAAGCAGACAGCCACCTCTTCATCCTGTGAAGCAGCTGGTGGATTCTCTCAGCCTGTTGGTTACCAGCTGAGTGCATGACCACTATGCCGGCACAGCGCCTTGGCTTTTATTATTTTACCAGTATGTAAAATAATGAGGCGTATTTATACATAAGACTCTTAGATTTGTGTGTGGGTAGTAGCTGTTTGTCAGCTGAGAAACAGACTGATCTGTTTCCTTGTAGCAGTTCTCACCCTGTGGGGGGCCCGATTCATAACAATAGCAATGAAGTAGCAATGAAAATAATTTTATGGTTGGGGGTCACCACAACATGAGGAACTGTATTAAGGGGTTGTGGCATTAAGAAGGTTGAGAACCACTGCCTTAGAGGATAACTTATCACTTGTATTATAATATGTGTTGAATTTCAGAATTTGTCCTATGAAAATGTTCTTAGGTTTAAAAAACGTCCTAAGGCTATATACTTTTAGAGAAATTTTGGAAATTTATACAGTATGAAAAGGATATATTGCCTGACGAATGGGATTTATAGATGTGCTGTCTAGCATTCCCATGGGAAATGCTTATCTTTGTTTTATGATAAAATTATACATAACAAAACACTTACCAATTCAATATTTTTTTCACGTATGATTCAGTGATCCTGCTTACATGCTTCATGTTTTCACACATTATCACTCTTTGTTTGAATTACTCCACCCCCATTAACTCTGTCTCGTTAACTTTCTCTTTCTTCATTCCTCCCCCTTGTGGTTAACCACTGACAAGCTCTCATTTCTACGTATTTCTCAGTTTCATATAAGTGAGATCACAGTGGGTTTTTTTTTTAATTAAATAATCATTTTATTAAGGGCTCATACAACTCATCACAATCTGTCCATATGTCATCTGTGTCCAGCACATTAGTACATATGTGGTCTTCATCATTCTCACAACACCCACTTTCCACTTGAGCCCCTAGTTTCAGCTCATTTTTCCCTTTCCCTCCCCGCTACCCCCGAACCCCCAATAACTTATAATTTATTATTATTTTATCACATCTTACCCCATCCCACATCTCCCTCACCCACTTCTCCACTGTCCGTCCCCCAGGGAGGAGGCCACATGTAGACCTTGTCCTCTGTTTCCCCTTTCTCCCTCTCCTTCTCTCCACCCTCCACCATTGCCACTCTCTCCACTGGTTCTGGGGGGTTCATCTGTCCTGGGATCACTGTATTTCCAGTTCCTATCTGTGCCAGTGCACCTCCTCCAGTCCAGCCGAATTATGGCTGACAGCATAATCTTTTCAAGGTTCATCCATATAGTGGCATATATTTGTATTTCATTTCTTTTTATGACTGAGTAATACTGAATTGTCTGTAAGTTCCACATTTTGTTAATTCATTTGTTCAAAGGTTGTTTCCACCTTTTGACAGTTGTGAATAGTGCTATAGTGAACATTGCTGTACAAGGGTATGTTTATCTTAATAATTGTTTTCAGAAACCTCTACTACCCTATCTCACTTACTTGGGTAATAATTACCCTTAAATTTTTTTCCCCTCAGTATAGGACCATTTTGAGCTTATAATAAATATAGTTTAACTTTATGTAAAAGCTCCATTAAACTAAAATAGGAGATAATCTAGGTCAGCTTTTTCAAGAGTATTCTGGTGTAGTTGGTTAAATTAATGAAAAAACACATTTGTTAAGTTCATAAGATGTCTGAGACATGATCAATGCTCAGTAAAGGCTGTTAAAGGCAAATCTTTTTATAAATTTTTTTATAAATCATTTTATTAGGGGCTCATACAACTCTTATCACCATCCATACATCTATCCATTGGGTCAAGCACATTTGTACATTTGTTGCCATCATCATTTTCAAAACATTTTCTTTCTACTTGAGCCCTTGATATCAGCTTCTCCTTTTTACCTCCTCCCTCCCCCACCCTCCCTCATGAACCCTTGATAATTTATAAATTATATTTTTTCATGTCTTACACTGACCGATGTCTCCCTTCACCCACTTTTCTGTTGTCCATCCCCTTGGGAGGGAATTATAGGTAGATCATTTTGATCGGTTCCTTCTTGTCTCCTCCCACCTTCCTATTACCCTTCTGTTATGGATTCTTTCAATATTGGTACTGAGGGGTTTGTCTGTCCTGGATTCCTTGTGTTTCTAGCTCATACCTGTAACCGTGTACATGCTCTGGTCTAGCCAGATTTGTAAGGTGAAATTGGGGTCATGATAGTGGGGGGGAGGAAGCATTAAAGAACTAGAGAGAAATTGTATGTTTCATTGGTGTTAGACTGCACTCTGACTAGCTCGCCTCTTCCTTGTCACCCTTCTGTAAGGGGATGTCCAGATGGGCTTTGGGTCTCCACTCTGCACTCCCTCCCATTCACAATGATATGATTATTTGTTCTGGATCTTTGATGTCTGATACCTGACCCCATTGCCACACAGGCTGGTGTGCTTCTTCCATGTGGGCTTTGTTGAAAGGCCAAATCTTTTGCAATGAAAGACTTTTATTTTTATAATGACACCTTTCCAAATTAATAATTTATTTTATTTTTCATTTGAACAGTTTTATTCACATATTGACATATAATTCACATAACAAACAATTGTTTAAACATATTGAGAAGAATTGTGCAATCATCATTACAATCAATTTTAGAACATTTTCTTCTTCAGACAATTTTATTGGGACATAATCCGTACAATTCAAGAGTTCAATCATATCAAGAAGGGTTGTACAATTATCACAATCAATTTTAGAACATTTTCTTTTCTTATGCTTCTTCTTAGCTTCCCGTTTTCCCCAGTCTCCTCTCCCATAGGCTCAAGAAACCATTAATTTAGTTACTTGCTTTCTAGATTTACCCATTCTGAAATTCATATTCCATATTCTGATTTAGAATTTCATATTCTGAAAAACATACAAAAACAAAAAGCAAAGAAACAACTAACAACAACAAAATAAAATAGAGGAAAAACCTCAATTGAAAAGAAAGCAGAAAATATTTAAACACTGGAAGAACTTTAAAATGTGTCAAAGGGGAGATCAAATGATAAGGCGTTTACCTTGAACCTGGCTACATCTGCACCATCCTCTTTCCGATGCCCTCTGCACAGTAGAAAGGCTTTTCCCCTTCACTTTTCTTTTCAATCGATGCAACTTTTAAATGGTTCAAAAGGATTATCAAATAAGATGTTACAGTTTGACTTACTTTTATCTACTTTAATTGTCTCTTTAAAAAGGGGTTTATTTTAAAGTAGTACAGCAAAACTGTTGAGTTATTAAGAGGTGTTTCTTGGGGTTCCATGTAAGATTGAAGGGTATAGAGGGTGGAAGATGAGAGGGTCACATTAGTGGGTAAGTTTTAGACCTCAGCCCTTTCTTAGTCAGAATTTTTATGTTTGCCATACCAAATAAAATCTCATTTAGAAAAAAAGGAATTTATTGTTTTAAAAACTATAGCACTTGGAAAAAAACACCTTTTTATTACATTTTTTCTTTAATAATTGCTGTATCTCAATAATTTGAATCTATTTTTCTAATATTTTATTGGGGCTTTGGGATATATTTGGTTGCAAGAAACAGAAAATGGCTTCCTTAGAGAAAGGAAATTATAATTAAAACAATGTTGGGCTATCAAGATTGTTACTGAGATTTTGTAACTTAATTATCACAAGCATTTTATGAGATAGGTTCGGTTACTATCATATCATAGATAAGGAAACGGAACTTTAGAGAAATTAATCTAAGGAAATGGTAATTTAGAGATTGAATTCATTGACCTATGAAATGAAAAAGCTACTCTGTCGATAACATCCAGGCAAAATAGACAGGCTTAGAAAATGAGTAATCCATGTAAGAAGACTCTCTTTAGAATAACCTGATCAAAACAACACTCAGAAGGCCTGAGGGGCAAAAAGGGGCACTTGGAAATGGGCGGGCACAGGGAGAAAGTGGAAGAGCGCTGTTAGTTGTGGGGATTGCAATCAATGCCATGGATATTCAAATGCACTGATACTAAGTTAATTTTAAAATATAAAAATTTAATTGTAAGTGCATTTAAAAATATTTTCCTTTTTCTCAACTTATTTATTTATTTTTATTTTTTAATCATTTTATTAGGGGCTCATACAACTCTTATCACAATCCATACATACATCAATTGTGTAAAGCACATTTGTACATTAATTGCCCTCATCATTCTCAAAACATTTGATCTCCACTTAAGCCCCTGGTATCAGCTCCTCATTTTCCCCTCCCTCCCTCAATTCTTATTTTTATGCACACATTTATTATAATGAGTTTTATTAGAATTTCACCAACATGATATACAATTCAGTAATTTCACCATATCAAGAAGAGTAGTACAATTATTACCACATTTAATTCTAGAACATATTCTCCTTCCTTGTACTCATTCTTGTTCATGTAACTTTTTCTTTTCTAATTGTGGTAAAAATATACACAACAGAACATCCCCAATACCACAAGTTCTACACTTATTCTTTAGTGCCATTGATTTACTCTTCACGTTGTACAGCTGTTATTGATGGCCTTTTCCAAATTACTGCACCACCATTAACATAAACTCAGTGCCCCTGAGCAGCAACTCCTTCCTCCGCCCGTGGTAAGCACTGGTCAAGCCTGGTTTCTTTTTCTTCTTTTTCAGTGCAGACATTAATTTTAACGTGAGAGATGTTTTATTAGGTAGGGCAAAATTGATTCAGTATCATAACTTCCTGTTCGCTTTTTAAGATACTAATTTTTCTGATTTCAATATTTCTCTTTTACAATAGTCTGTTTGGACTGCATAAGAAAGTTATCAATATGGTACACAATTTACTATCCAGTCATGACTCGGACCCACGGTATGCCGACCCCCAGATAAAGGCCCGGGTGGCCATGTTGTATCTACCTCTGATTGGCATTATCATGGAGACGGTACCTCAGCTGTATGATTTCACAGGTATATACTATATTCAAGACAGCATTTCAAAGCAGAGCCTAATGTGGAAATTCATTTCATTCATTCTCTCTGCCATCAAATCGATGCTGACTCATAGCAACCTCCTCTGGTTTCCTAAGACTGCAACTATTTCCAGGCGGAGAAGCCCAGTCTTTCTCCCATGGAATTCTTGGTGATTTTGAACTGCTGACCATGAAGATCGCAATCCAGTGCATAACCACTACGCCACCTGGGCTCCTTTAAAGGGATTAGAAAATTATTTCTCGGATGAAGAGCTTACTGAAAATAATAATGAAATGTATACAGAAAAAAGTAGTGTGGAAATTCTTAATCATATTACCGAAAAACTCTGGCTGTTTGAGAGAATTCACTTCAAATGAATTTCCTGTAAATAATCATTTCGATAGACTTTAAAATAATGAATTTACAGCAGTAGTCTTTGGTTTTTAATACAAATATTTTTTACCTTTTAGGCAGTAGATTTGTGTGTATTTGTATATTTTGAAAAAAAATCTTAAATACTTTCCAACCTCAGTCTCGGTTTACTTGAAATTAGCATTTACTTTCATACTAGGAATTTTATTTACTGCTAACATCTTGAAGTTGTGTTGCTTTCTTAGAAGTAATGCCCACAAAGTTTTATGGCTTTTATATTGCATATTTAGAGTTTACTTAAATTCTGTCATTCAAGTAAAACACTATCAGTGATGTTTAAACTGCAAATTACTTTGAGGTTGGTAAAAACAGACACAAACACCCAGTACCTGACATTAAAGAGAACAAAATTGGGTAGTTTTCCTCACTGATCTGTAAAGTTGGTTTCCTTACCTGAGGACAGACATATTTGTATTATATAATTATCTTACTCAACCAGTTAGACTTCTCTACAAAACTGTAAATTATTAACCCTCTCTAATTGCTATCAAGTTGATCCCAACTCCTAGTGACCCTGCAAGACAGTAGAATTTCTTCAGGGACTGTGTGTGAATCCCTCTGGCAGGTGAAAGCCTCCTCTTTCTGTAGGAGAGCAGCTGGTGGTGGCTAACAGCCTACCGGGTGGCCGACCGACCGTATGCTGCTACCAGCCTTCCAGGGTGAGTCATCACGGTAGGAAGGAGTCCATAGTTAAAATACAAAAAAAAATTTTTAAGATACCAATATAATATTCATACGTATTAGCATGGTTTTGTTTTTCTGTCTTCATTTAAAGGCTAATGGAGAATAGGAAAAGGAATTGCATGTTCAGTAATTGTTACTTGAGCTACTTGAGTTTTTATAAGTCTTTTGAATCATTTTTCTCTAGAGACTCACAACCAGCGAGGAAGACCCATTTGTATAGCCTCCGATGATTATGAAAGTGAGAGTGGAAGCATGATAAGCCAGACCGTTGCCATGGCAATTGCAGGAACTTCAGTCCCTCAGCTAACAAGGCCTGGCAGTTTCCTCCTTACATCAACGGTAAAAATAGTTTCCTACACGAACCATTTTGTGGAAAGACAAATATTTATAAGGATGTGTCCTTAAATCACGAAGGTTACTGTGTTCTCAAAAAACTCAAACTCACTGCCATCAGGTCAATTCTGACTCATAGTGAGCCTGGGAGACAGGGTGGAACTGCCCCTGTGGGTTTCTGAAACTGTAACTATTGGAGTAGAAAGCCTCATCTTTCTCCCACGGAGTGACTGGTGGTTTCAAACTGCTGTCCATGCAGTGAAAAGCCCAATGTATAACCACTATGCCACCAGGGCTCCTCAGTTACTGTGCTAGCTGATGCAAATTACTCTTGGGTTTTGTTAATGTAGCCATTAACATTTCGAGAATAGTACCTGGAATGCAGTATAATCATATAAATTCATGAGTTATAAAAATCAAGATCTGCTGCACCAAGCCGATTCCTGTGAGATGTAGGGCAAGTGTAATAGCTTCCTTCCCACTCTTCCTTTATTTCTGACACCAGCCATTCCTCCCACGGCACTCTACTTCTCTGGTGGGCTTGTTAATTCATTGTAACAAATCAAAATCCATACCCACGTTTATGTGGTTTATTAGCAATCAGTAATCATCAGTCTTCAAAATTTGGACCCATGAAATGAGGAAACTTTGGAGGCAAAGCTTTCCTTACTTTACTGGTCATTTACAGTATGGTGCTTATAAATGAGCATCTTATCTAGAGCGTCATGGTGATCGAAAGTTACAAAAGCAAACTTCCTTGTTTGCCACTGTCTCAGTTGTCACTTCATGTACACAAATTCCCAGATGTTGTTCAACATTTCTACGTGACGTTTTCCATGTCTCCTTTAATGCCACCAGCAAAGATCGTTTTCTCAAAGGGGGTAGGTACCAACTCTTTGAGAATCTTCTCAAAGAGAGCCCTCTTTGTTTCCACAACTCTTCCATCCAACTGTGAGACCTTTCACACATGGCTGCATCCACCTCCACCACAGCAGAGTAGTAACTAGCCCAGAGCCTCTGCGGCACTCAGTGTTTGGAACTCTTATCACCACACAGTGGGGCATCCTCCATTGCTCGAAGGTTTCAGACTCTCATCTGTTGTTTTAAAGCTCAATCCTTCAATGAAGAGTCCATGTACCTACTGGGGCTCCTTAGGAGACTATGGCTTAGACATGATCCCAAAGACTTTAACAGTACTGCTTTTGTGGTATCTGTGGGCAACTTTAGTTAATTTTTGTAAATGGTGTGAGGTAGGAGTTTAACTTAATTCTTTTGTCCAGGGACACTTGGTTGCCCCACTCCCCATTATAAGACAACTGCTCTTTCAATGAATTGTTTTAACAACCTTGTCAAAAATCAATTAACCCCAAATTTAAGGATTTACTTTTGGGCTTTCAAATTCTATTCATTGTCTAGGGGACTATCTTTATGCTACATACGCTCATCAGCTAAAATTTCTTTTTAGCATAGAGATGAAGGTATATAAATTTACTTGTTTTATACCATTTATAAAGTGACTTTTTCCACATGAGAGTATTTATTTTTCTTTTTAAAAATTGTTTTATTTGTATATAATTAGCATCATACAATCATATTAAGAAGGGTTGTGCAACCAAATTTGGAACATTTGTTTCCTTTTTGTACCCATTGTTGTTGATCGCATGTTTCCCTTGCCTTCCCTTTCTGTGCCCCCAGGTAATTATTAATACCTTTACTGTTTTCATGAATCTATCCATCTTGTCTTTCCTGTACAGAAAAACATACAAAGCAAGGACAGAAAACTAAAACAGAACCCAGCAGTAACTATCATATAAAAACGGAAACACCACAATCTAATAAAGAGCAAAGGATATTAAAACTTTAGAATAAATTTAAAATGGGTCCAAAGGGAGATCTAATGACAACGTGCTGCAGTCCAGCCTTTAAGTACAGCTACTAAAATCCATGTTGTAGTGCTCTGTCTTACATTAGGGCTCTTCACACTGCTGGTCCGTGGACAGTGGGAATTCACCATGGACTCATCCACCTAGGGACCCTGCAAATGGGTTTATAGTGTTCTGCACCCTGGGTATTAAGCAATTAGCCATGGGTGCCATTCCCTCCTCTGGGCTTAGATCTTATTATTTACAATTCTTAGATCACACAGGCTGGCTTGCTGCTTTTGTGTGGAATTAAGCTCACTCCTCATTTAGATGGCTGCCTGTTTTCAGATAAGCCTTTAAGACCCCGGATGTTATTTGTTATTTTTTGATAGCTGGGTACCATATGCTTCTTCACCACACTTTGCTATGGCATTCATATTTTCAATGATCTCCTCCTGAGGGTGAATATTGGGCATGTCCTATATTTTATTCTTTTACAAAAGATTTACTAAAACTAAGGTAGGAACCGGGGAGCTAAAATGAAGTCAAATAGAGGATAATCCATGCCAGGTACTTTTCTGTAACCTGAAATTCCTGCCATGTTGAAGTACAAATCTAACTAGGTTTAAAACTTTATATGAAATGGTTGCAATCAGTTTCAAGTACAGGTCCTCCAACTTAAGGTCCGATACCATAGATTTAAGCCTCATCAAAATGCAGCATACTTTTAAGTAATTATTTTCATTTTTACTAACTTCTCATACATAAGAAATAACATGTAAAGCATGTACCGATAAACGCACAGCAGTAGTGTTCTCAGTGCTCATCTCGCCAGTGAGGGGGTTCTGACTCATAGTGAGAACGTGACAAAGACCATGGATGTTCCCCTCTGTCTTGCTCAATTTGATCCTTCTCTAATTCTTAATTTTTTTGACTTTTTAACTTTTTAAAAACTCCATCAAGTTTACATGGAAACGTACATGAAATATAAATGTGCAAATTTACAAAACACAGTAAAGTTAATATTTGGGTAACTACTACTCAGGATAAAAAGCAGAAAAATGGCTTTACTGCAAAACGTTAGCATGCTCATTCCCCAAAATAACTACTTACCCTTCCACTTCTCTCTTCAACACTGTTTATCTTGATCAATGATGTTAGGACCTTTTAAAATAATTGTTTTGCCACCTATTAGGCATCCCTAAACATTTTAACTTTACATTATGATCTCAGTGTTCATCTGTGATAAAGGATGTAACCAAAGTTTACTTATTTTCATTGCCATATAAATGTATACCTGTCTATAAACTAACTATTAATAGAAACATGAGTATTTTTCTCTTTGGTTATTACAGTAGCAATCCCGCATGCTTTCTTTAATGTGTATCCTGTGTATTTGTAAGCACTTTTATTAAAGTATACTCCTAGGAATAGAATTTGCTTGGCCATAGAATATATGTGTCATCTATACCAGTATTGTTCAATATTTTTCCAAAGTTTTATCCAGTTTATATTTCATCTGCATTCCGAGTGTTCCTATTCCTTCACATGCTCATCAGCACTTTTAATTGATGGCTAATGAGAGTGAATGCTTTTTTTAAATGTTTCTAGGCCATCTAGATGATCTCTTTTGGAAGTGTTCCCTCGAAGACTACATAAGTAATGTTAAATTGTCTTTCCCAGTTGCCTTACCCAGTTTGCCCACTAACAGAAGTATACTTGACTTCTCTAAGACGAGCATGCCTCCTTGCACTCCACCTCTTGACCTGAATCTCCAATGGGGTTTCCTTATCACTCCTGTAGGATTGTCAATTGATTTGGGGGTGACTGTAAAATAATGTCATCAGGCAGGGACTGATTGCTCTTCTCCTCTATCCCCCCATCCTGAGAAACTGACCCCATTACTTTGGAGACTGAATTAAAAGATTACATGACCTGAGATCAGAAGCCTACCTTTGTATTGATTTTTATCCTTACAGTAGTAGACTCATACAATATTTATCTTTTTGTAATTGACTTGACTTAGCATGGTTTTCAGGTCCATGTAACTCACAAGGTCTTTCATCCCTGTGTTTTAGGGATGCGTAATATTCCATTGTGTGTATGTACTACCAGAGTTTCTTTATCTATTCTTCTACTAATTGGCATTTGGGGTGTTTCTAGCTTCTTGCTTAAAATGGTTGATTTTTAAGCAATTTCTGTTTTACCACTTTAGAAGAAAACTATTAACAGCCAAGCAGATAGAGAAATGGTTATTGGTCAGTGTTTCTCATTCTACTATTTATTTTCAGAGTGGCAGACAACATACTACTTTTTCAGCAGAATCAAGTCGAAGCCTTTTGATCTGTCTACTTTGGGTTCTCAAGAATGCTGATGAGACAGTTCTACAAAAGTGGTTTACAGATCTCTCAGTCCTCCAGCTAAACCGGCTATTAGATCTACTTTACCTCTGTGTATCTTGCTTTGAGTACAAGGTAAGTGATCCTTACACCATTTAGCCAGAAAGGAAACAATATGGAAAATGAGGAAGATCATTTTCTTAAAGCCCCTTCTTTTCTATTGTTTTCGTATTAGGGAAAGAAGGTTTTTGAAAGAATGAATAGTTTAACCTTTAAGAAATCTAAAGACATGAGAGCAAAGCTTGAAGAAGCGATTCTTGGGAGCATCGGAGCTAGGCAAGAAATGGTACGCCGAAGCCGAGGACAACTCGGTATGTACACAGTATCTTCACCTTCTGGTGAGATTCTTTATTTTACTTTGAACTATGTGCTGTAATTATAATTGTTGAAAGACTAATGACAAATCTACACTTTCAGTATTTTAAATATAACTTTTGAATACTGATTTCTCGTGTTTGGATTCAAGTTATAACTAAACTTCAAACATATTTATTTCCCTGTTTGCTTTAGATAGTGTCAGGTACACATTGCTCTGGTGTAAATATTGATAGCATCCCTTTTCACTCTTACCATGTTCACATTGCATGATAAATTAATATACCCTAGATTTAAGGTGAAAGCAGAGAATACCAGAAGGATGTTTTACTGTGTTTATTTACTATGCTAAGGCATTTGACTACATAGGTCATAAAAAACTATGGCTAGCCATGAGAAGAATGGGAATCCTCTAACTCTTCATTGTACTCATGCAGCACTTGCAAATGGATCAAGAGGAAGTTGTACAAACTGAGCAAGGGAATACCGCATGATTTAAAATATCAGGAAAGGTGCGTGTTGGGGTTGTATTCCTTCAGCATACATATTCAGTCTATGCTGAGCAAATAATCAGAGAAACTGGATTATGTTCAGAAGAATGTGATATCATGATCGGAGGAAAGCTTATTAACAACCTGTGATATGCAGATGACACAACCTTGCTTGCTAAAAGTAAGGAGGACTTGAAGCAGCCTTCAGTATGGATTATAACTCAGGGTAAAGAAGATCAAAATCCTCACAACTAGCCCAATAGACAGTATCATGATAGAGAAAAGATTGAAATTGTCAAAGATGTCATTTTGCTGGGATCCACAATCAGTGCTCAAGGAAGAGCCCACGTGATGTATTGGTTGAAGTCTGCTGCACATGACCTCTTTAAGGTTTACAGAGCAACGATGTCACTTTGACAACTAAGGTGTGCCTGACCCAAACCATGGTATTTCAATTGCCTTATGTGGAAGTTGGACAGGGAATCAGGAAGACTGAAGACGAATGGATGCATTTGAATTGCGGTGCTGGGGAAGAATTTTGGAAGATAGACTGCTAACAGAACCAAAAAATCTGTCTTGGAAGAAGCACAGCCAGGTTATTCTGCTCCTTAGAGGCAAGGAGGGTGAGACTTCAACTCGGGTACTTTGGACATTTCAGAAGAGACCATTCCCTGGAGAAGGGACATCATGCTTGGTAAAGTGGAGGGGCAGCTAAAAAGAGGTCGACCTTCCACAAGATGGATTGACACAGTGGCTGCAACAATGGGCTCAGCATCACAATTGTGAAGGTGGCTCAGAACTGAGCAGTGTTTTGTTCTGTTTTACATAGAATTGCTATGAGTCAGAACTGACATGAAGGCACTTAACAATATCCACAGAGTTAAGCCAAAAATATTAGCTACAAACTCAAATGTATAGGGAGAAAGAACACAGTATAATAACATTTTATGCCCTGGTTCTGATCCCAAGTCTGGTGCCCATTAGCTATATTACTTTGGCTAAGTCACTTACCTCCCTATCTTCCTTTTCCTTATCCATTTGTGATTTTTGGGGGGAAGTTAAATGATGGTATAACTCACTGGCCTAATTTTCATTATGGTAACCATGTATGTGGAAATCATTTAAGAGGGGTTACAAAAACCCCAGAATTGTGCTGGGTGGAGCTTTTGTAGGATGCATTTTCCCCTCTAGATGAGCATCGAGCAAGTTGCTATGAGTTAGTGCACCCAGTGGCATTCTACTGGTCACAGTGAATTTTTCTGTAAAAGCAGTTTCACTTAAACCTTGTTTTTTGTGATAGTCGATTTAAGAGAATACTATAGGGCTGTGAAATTTTATTTCCTTCCCTGGTAAAAATGCTGCACAAACTCTTGTGATGTTGAGCACAGCTTATAAGGACAGCACTATGGGAAAAACTCAAGTGTATGAGTGGTTTTCTTGTTTCAAGAAAGGTGAAAATGTCCACTCATGTTGCATTTAGAGTTTGTTTCACCAGGTCAGACTGTTAATCAAACTTTCTATTTAGAGGTTCTGAAAAGATTGCGTAACTGTGCGACAAAAAAGGCCTGATTTATGGCAGTTGGGGGACCGGTTTTGCCACCATGACAATGCACCTACTCATGCAGCCATCTCAGTGTGCGAATTTTTGGCAAAAACATCATGCCTCTCATGCCCCATGCACCTTACTCACCAGACCTTGCTCCACACAACCTCTTTTTTGTTTCCACGAATGAAAAGGAATGTGAAAGGATAGTAATTTGATGAAGTAGAAGAGGTAAAGAGAAAAATGAGGGAGGTGCTATCAGCCATCCAAACAGATGAGTCTGAACAGTGTTTCCAAGATTGGAATCGCAGATTTGATTATTAAGTGTAATGGAGAGTACTTTGAAGGTGATATGGTTATTTTGTAAAAAAAAAATTTACATAGCTTTGAACAGGGTGGGGAATTCTGAGGGGGGGGGGTGTATTTTGTACCCTCCTAGTATAAATTGTAAGGTGACCTAAAAATAATGTCCTTGTGGCTGAAAGTTCCTTTCAGTCAAGGAAATGACTTTGTCACTGTTGTAAATGAAGAATTGTAACCCCATGTTTATTGCCTTAATATATGAATGTGTGATAGTTTGCATACATATGTAGTATGAAGACATTTTCTTTGCTGTTTTCTGAGTGGCATTAATGTAGAGATTATTTATTTTAATATCTTTTACATATATGTAAACGTTTGGGTTTTTATTTTTTTAGAAATAATTTTATTGGGGATTCTTACAGCTCTTATCACAATCCATAAGTATATCCATTGTGTCAAGCACATTTGTACATATGTTGCCATCATCATTTTCAGAATATTTTCTTTCTACTTGAGCCCTTGATATCAACCCCTCATTTTTCCCCTTCCTACCTACCCCACCCTCCTTTCATTTGGGGTTTTTAAACGAATTTAGACTAGAGCTTCCCTTTGAAGGAATTACAAGAGTAACTTTTGTATTTACAGTATATGTGATTTTCAGTCTCCCACTTGGTTTTAACTTTGAACTCATTGTATACAACAACCCCATGGAAAAGCAAGAAAATTAACATTTACTTAGGCCATAAGTATTACTAAAACCTCATGAATGATTATTTTCATTTTAAGATAAAGAAGTTGAAACCGAGAGATAAATAGCTTGTTCAAAAGTCATAATAAGTTGCACAGCCAGGATCTTTTTACTTCCAATTTAGTGTTCTTTCTATTATATTCCTGCTGTTTATACGATTTCTCTTTGGAGAGGATGAAACTGATAATGACATATATTTGTTACACTGTTAACTCAGTGACCTGAGGACAACTTCCCTTGTTTAAATGCAAAATTTTAAGTCACACTTATTCTAGAAGAATTAAGTCTGCAATTCTTGTTATATTTGGGCATTTAAGCTAAGGTCACCTACTGACAGACATTTTTAAGCAAGGAGATAAAAGACTAATTTGTAAAAGAATATGTTACAGATTGTTGTTGTGAACTATCCCAGCTAATTCATAGTGACTGAAAGGGACAGAGCAGAAGTGCTGCTTCCAATTTTCCTTGGCTGTAACCTTTGCAGAAGCAGATCACTGGCTCTCTTCTTCAGGGCTGAGAACTGCCAGGCATTCCTATAGCACTTAATTAACCATTGTAGGACTCACT